GGTTTCTGGGATCAGCGGTCTCTATGATGACCCCTCTCCCCTGCAGGTCCATCCTCTGGCACCAGCCCCAGTTACTGCCCCCAGTTCCTTTGGGTCTCCAGAGGAGGCAAGTCCATTCCTAACTGGGCCCCAAATACCCACTCTTGGCTTTTGCAGGCAACCCCCACCTTCCTTCTCCCCACTGCCGCTCCCTGCACCCTTCCCGACTCTATGCTGCTGCACCTTCTGTGGCTAGCCCATCCAGCAAAAGTAAGGGCCACCTGCATCTTAAATGGCTAGATGCATTTGCACCCCTCCCCGCAGCCCAGGGTAGGCCCCTTCCACTGCCCTACCCCCTACCCGCCCTTCCTCAAGGCCCTGTCCGTACAGGAACTGCAGCAGTGGCAGGTGGGAAAACGCTCCATCCTGGATCTCTGAGAAGGCAGCATTCACCAGCGTCCTGCAGAGGACACCTGAGTCAGTACTGTGGAGATTTTGCAGGGACTGGGGGGGGGGGGGGGGGGGGGGGGGGGGGGGGGGGGGGGGGGGGGGGGGGGGGGGGGGGGGGGGGGGGGGGGGGGGGGGGGGGCGTGCGGAGGAGGGCGGGGCTCACAAGGTGAATAGGGCAATGGTTCTGTGCTTGCCCTGGAAAACGCCCATTTCACCCGCCTGGGTCCCCTCCACCTAGGGCTATCTTTCTTCTCCCCCCATAAACTCATTACCTTCCATCTCAGTATCCTCCCCTACTGCCTCCCTGAACACCAGTGGCCCCAGGCTCAGCTTCCACTTCAGCCAAAAGAAGGTTTCATTACCCACAACTTCAAGATCATTCAAACACCCACAGTGTGCTCGGTAGGTGCTGTGGAGGGATGGGGCCCTGGGATGGGGGTGGGGGATTAGCATCCTGCTCTCAAGGACCACAGCCCATCCAGTCTCTGAGGCCACTTACTGCAAGTGACGGGCTGGCTGGCCCAGTGCAGGGTGGATGGGAGACCAGTGGCAGGCGTCCCTCCCCTGACAGGGCACTGTGTGGGTGTATCTCACATCTGCCCCTCCCCCCGCTTCCACCCTCCCTCCCCCCACAAAAAGCCTTTCTGCCCTTGGTGTGACATCACAGGCAGGGGCCCACATGCTCTTGTAAACAACCCCTCCCCCCATGTTCAGAGCCCTGCACACAGTAGGTCTCATTGATGCTGCTGGTGGTGATGATTCATTCTTGGCCATAAACTCCTGTTGTCCCCAGCCATGGCTGCTGAGCCTGCATGACTACAGAACTCCCAACCTGGATGACGCCTTGAATCTCCAGTCCTGAGGACCCCTGGAGACCTCCTGCTCCCCACACTTTGTAGAGGGGGAGCAAGGGTTTTCCCATCCACTCCCAGAGCGGCTCTTGCCTTCCTCCCTCTCTCAGCTCCCCCACCTCAGAAGCCAGGACACTCACAGAGAGATGACCTCGGAGGGCAGGTTCCTGGGCACTGCCTTAGAATCCACGCAGAAGGCGGTGTCCCTGGTGCAGGAACAGCTGGGCGGGCAGGGGGGCGTCTTGGGGGGCCTCTTGGCACTGACTTGCAGCATCAGGCAGAAGCCGAGCGTGGACAGCGCCAGCAGCCGGAGCCCGGAGCCCCGCCTGGCCCGCAGCCCCGCCATGCTGACTGCAAGCAAGCTCTCCCTCGGGCCACCGGCCGCAGCCCCCGCCCCGCGGCTCTCCGCCACCCGGCGCGGGCTGGCACCCCCCGGCCACCGCCGCCGCCGCGGCCACCGCCGCCGCCGCCGCCGGCAGCCGCTGCCGCAGCTAGGCGCCCGGCTGCCCGCTGCGGAGAGTCGAGTCCTCCAGCCCTCGGCCGCGGGCTCCGTCCCCTCCCCTGCTCGTTCTCGCGAGCCGGCCTGGGAGAGCTGCGCGGGCCCGGAGGCCGAGCGAGGGAGGACCGGCGGGGGTGGACGCGGACTGCGGCGGGGGCGCGCGCAGGGCGGAGGGGGGCGGCGGGGGGGAGTCCCGGGCTGGGAGTAGCCAAAGAAAGAAGTGGTTGTGGCCCTGGCCGCTGTGTGCACTACCGGCGGTCTCTGGGGCCATCTGCTTGCGTTTCTGGCACCCAGAGCGTCTGTCGTGAGAACAGGTGTGCGAGGTATACATGTGCATCCTATGATGGCATGACTGTGCCCGCTTACACACCTGCCTCTGCACGGGCACGTGCACACAGGCGCATATTCCCTCGTGCGGGCATTTCTGCATTGTGAATCCACGTGCTCTGTATGCCTGGATATCTGTCGTGACCCTTAGGGGACACATCCTCTAAACAGGAGTTCATGGGTGTGTCATAAGCGCCGTGTATGTGCATCTGTGTTCACATGTGTTTCCAAGAGCCACTGAACAGAATGCGCCTGTGTGTCTCTGTGGGAAAAGAGACACTGAGTTTGAGTGGGAGTGTGTGGAATTCTGGAACATATCTCACTATCCAACCACAGACTGTGGAAGCTGGGAAGAGCCTTGGATGTTTTCCAGTCCAGCTCTTTGTCACAAATGAGGAAACTGAGGCCCAAACTAGGAGGAAACCAGCCAAGCTTTCCACAGTAGATGTCACATCCACTGTGTGCTGTGTACTCTAGGTATGTGATCCTTCCAACCTTTTGAGGATGATAGGAAGCCCACCCTTGACAGGTAAGAGGAGTGAGGCTGATAGCACCTGAAGAAAGCAACAGAACAGGGATTTCAACCCACCAGTGCCCAACGCCAAAGTTCACAGTTGTACTTTTATACCAAGAGTCTTCAAAGTGTGGTCCAGGGAGTCCAGGGGGCCTTGAGAACCTTCCGGGAAGTCGCTGAGGTCAAAACAATTGTCCTAATAATATTAAAACATAATCTTACCTTTTCACTTTCATGCTCTCACAAAAGTATCCTGGAATTTTCTAGAGGCTACGTGATATATCTTCTATTAAGTCAGAGATTAGGGGCACTTGGGTGGCTCAGTTGGTTGAGCATCCAACTTTGGCTCAGGTCATGATCTCACAGTTCATGATTCGAGGCCCATGTTAGGCTCTGTGCTGACATCTCAGAGTCTGGAGCTTGCTTCAGATTCTGTGTCTCCCTCTCTGCCCTGTTTCTGCTGGCTCTCTGTTTCACTGGGTTTCAAAAATAATAAACACTAAAAAAAAATTTTAAGCTAGAAATTAAAGATATTTGCAAAAATGTAAGACAATTTCTTCTAATTTCTTTTGCTTTGTAAAATAAATTTATTTTAAAATTTATGTTATTTATGTTAAAACATACAATGAGTTTATCGCAATTTTCATTCATTAATTAACATTTTAAAATAACATACTTAAGGTTAATTAATTAACATTTAAAATAACATAAACAAAAGCTCCTTGGGGTCCTCAGTATTTTTAAAAGAATTTTAAGGGGTCCAGGGCACCTGGGTGGCTCAGTCGATTAAGCGTCTGACTCTTGATTGCAGCTCAGGTCATGATCTGCACAGGGCTCTGCACTGTCAGGATCCTGCTTAGGATTCTGTCTCCCTTTCTCTCTGCCCCTCCCCAGCTCACACGTGTGCTTTCACACACACTCTCTCTCTCTCAAAAACTAAATATACTTTTAAAAAAAATGAAGAAGAAGAATGTTCTCAAAATGTTTGAGAACTGCTGCTCTATAACCTCCCTGGTGCCTTTGTATGGGAATGACTGTACCAAAAGTTCACAGGTGCAGGACAAGGGGAGACTGGAAGTCAGGTTGACTGGAGCTCCTTGTAGTATTCTTTCCACATCAAGCCAGAAAACTGAGATCAAGATCGGTGGGTCTAAGACGTGTCCCTAGCTGTCCCCAGCCTCCGCCAGCAGGGGCCTCTCTGGTAAGAGCTTACGTCCATGTTCTCTCAACCAGGGATGTCCCTTCCCTTTGATGCTCACTTGCCACTGCCCATACAGCTGCCCGTGCTGCCCTCCCCATGCCAGCTTGTGGGAAGACAAGCAATGGGGGTGGGGAGCATGGCTGGGGCAGCTGGGCAACCGTCTGCACCCGTCCCTGGCACGGCTCTGCCCAGCACACAAAGGGCAGAGTGAATCTCGTCCCAGCCCTTGCAGCTGAGGAGCTCAAGGAGGAAAAGAGGAGGCACACATAAAAGGGGTGGCTGCCATAAGGCTCACCATCGCCCATGGTTCTCCCAGAGGGAATTAACCCAGAGACAGACAAAAAGGAGGAGCCTGGGTCCTACTGTTGGCTAATGAGAGGAGGTGTCTTGGGAAGGGGCGAAGTAGATGATGATAATCATGACGATTGGCTCGATGATGTCATTGGATCCTTGATGATGTCACTGGATCCTCACAACAGCTTGGAGAGGGGAACAGGACAGGCAGACTGGTCTCATTTCACAGCTGTCCACACTAAAGCCTAGAAAGGCAGAATGACTCCTTCGGGGTCCCAGAGCTGGCCAGTGAGGCACCATGACGTCCACATAGTGAAGGAACGAACTATTGACTGTTCGCCAGGAGCCCCTTCATGTCTGCCTATACCACTGAATATAATTACATGTTGGCTGTGGGCATGCTCCTTGCCCTGCAGCAGGTACAAAGAATCCTCGGGAGAGCATGGTCTCAGGCCAGTGCTGGGGAACATAGGGCAACAAAAAGCACCCACATAGCTGAGGAGAACAGCAGTGGGCACAAAGCGGTAGGTGAAAAGGGCAGCAGGAGGATGGGAGATCTTGGAGGAGGGAGGGGGCAGCATAGCCTGGGGCAGTGAGGTCATAGAGCAGGTGCCATTGGCTCCTGTCTGGCCTTTTAGGGTGGGTGACCCTACAGAGGTGGAGAGGCATCAAAGGTAGGATTTCCAGGGAGGAGAAATGGCCCAAGTGAAGGCCAAGACGGGAGAAGTCTACAGCAGAGGGCTGTTGTGGGGGGTGAGGTGACAGCTATGCATGCTCAGCTAAAGGTCCCTCCTCACTTCCTGAGAAGGCAGACGAGGACACCAAGACTTCTGCTGGGTCAGTGCCCGAGGGGTCCGTGCTAGCACCTGGACTCCCCTTATGAAACTTGAGGGCAACCTTATTTCCCCAATCTCTGAACAGACAAAAACAAGTGGGGGGAAAAAAAGGAAACACCATAAAGCTTGTGAGAATTACAGCTGGAGGGCAGCCTGCAGGGGAGACTGAGGAACTGAGAGCACACACCAGCTGATGATGGCAAGCCCTACACACAGTGCCTGCTCAGAACAAGCTCCACAGCTGGACCACGCGGCCCCCTGAGATGCCCGCAGGGACCCCGAGATGCTTGCAGCCCTCCTTGGCTCTCCCACTGGCCTGCTGCCCACCTGGCTCAGGCCCAGAGCATGTGAGTCAGCCAATCCATCCCAGCGTTGTCTGGACAACCGAGGGCGGGCAGGAGTGGGCACTGCAGGCTGCTGTCTCTTGCATCTGGCACCTGCACACAGCTGAGGCTACACACAGTTGAGAGGAGGATGCTTCCCCCTTCTTCCTGGACTCCTCCCCCCTTCACTCCTCCTAGGACACTTGCCTCGAGAGGTTTTGGCAAATATTTAAAGGGGTAGTTGGGGCTACTGGAGGGTGGTGGGAGCAAACACTCCCTTCCCTTCCCTCTCTCCTTCCCTGAGCTTCTCAGGCACTCTCAGCTCAGATGCCATGCTGTTGTGCAACCTGGAGGCGGAAGGCCCTCCAGCTGGAGAGAGGGTCCTTGTGGGGAAGGGCAGCCTGCCAGTGCTGGAGAGCCAGGGGTCAGCCCATGACTGACTGGCAGGGCCAAGGTGTGAGGGAGCCCCCAGGGCAGGGACAGGAACTGGGATGAAGTGTTGGAGGTAAACTGTCAGGAGGATAAGGGAGTTAGGCCTAGAGGAGTGAGGGTGCGGCTCTGACTTACACACTTATGCAAGTTCCAAGGTAAAGGCATTGACTGTAGAGACCACCTGGCCCAGAAAGTGGAGGGGAGCCCAAGAGAAAGGATGCAGCCATTAGTAGGTTTGGTTTAGTACAACAAAGCAAAAGAAGTGGCTTTGAGGAAGGAGGTAAAGAGATAGAAGGGAGAAGGAGAAGGTCTAGAAAGTGGATCATACTGGCATGAGTAGCATTCCCAAGGCAAATTTAGGATCCAAGGGTATAAAAAGAGGAGCACAGAGAAATAGGGTTATAGGCAGCACCAAGCAGGTGAGATTCAAGGAAGAGGGGATTGGGACCCTATCAGTCACCACACCCAACCCTGTGCAAGGCTATTGGGGTATAAGAAAGAAGTGTCAGGTGTGGAATCTGCTATCAAAAGCCCTCAACTTAATCTCTGAAAATGGTTACTATTCACTTGATGCAAAAAAAAATCCCACAAAATCAAATCAAGAGGTTCAAATCTTCACATCCATTTTAAGAACACTCATGAAACTTCCCAAGTCATCAAGGGCATGTATATCTGAAAAACCACTAAGTATCTGAAGAATGTCACTTTTTTACAGAAGCAATGTGTGCTGTTCCATCATCATAATGGAGGAGCTGATGTGTGCCCAGGACAAACGGTGGGGCTGCACACAGGGTCAGTGGCCTAAAAGGAGTGCTGAATTTTTACTGTGCTTGCTTGAAAATGTAGAGAGTAATGCTGAACTTAAGGGTTTAGAGGTAGCTTCTCTGGTCACCGAGCACATCCAGGTGAACAAAGCCCCCAAAATGAGCCACTAAATTCACAGTGCTCATGGTCAGATTAACCCCAGCATGAGCTCTCCTTGCCACACTGAGGTGATCCTTACTGAAACGGAGACGTTTCTCAAACCAGAAGAGGAAGTTGCACAGATGAGAAAGATATCCCAGAAGAAACTGGAGAAACAAGAGTATATGACCTGGGAATAAATTCAACATAGAATAAATGCAAATAAAAAACCAGTGGTGGGGGGGGCAGGGGCGGAGGGGATGGCCTTCAGCCTACAAACAAGCCCAAAGCAAAGAAGGAAAAAAACCACACATTAGTATGTCTGAATTTATAGCCAGAGGGGACATAGTTTTCAGACTTAGGAAAAGAATGACCAGGGGCAATTCTGAGGTTAGGTAACAGATGTGCTGGAAGAGGCCAGGCAGGTGGCATACTTGAAATTGAAAATGGCCATATAAGAGGGGCGCCTGGGTGGCTTAGTCGGTTAAGCGTCCGACTTTCGCTTAGGTCATGATCTCGCGGTTCGTGGGTTCGAGCCCCGCGTCGGGCCCTGTGCTGACTGCCAGCTCGGAGCCTGGAGCCTGTTTCAGTCTGTGACTCCCTCTCTCTCTGACCCTCCCCTGCTCACGCTGTCTCTCTCTCCTAGAAATAAATAAAACATTAAAAAAAAAATTAAAAAAAAATAAAAGAAAATGGCCATATAAGAAGCCCAACAGGGATGCCAAAGCACAACCTGCCTTCAGCACTGTCTCTCCGGGCCCCAGGCACAGCGTCCTCACTCCCGTCCCTGGAGCTCATCCCTATGCAGGGGGGAAATTCTGTTGCGAAATGTGGTGGACTCCTCATCGGGTCAGACCCCTGGCTGCCTGAGAGGTTCAAGTTGGCAGAAGAACAGGGAAAGCCACAAGACTGCAGGGGCAGGTGCCAACAAGAAAGGTGGCCAATGCCAGCAAGACACCCACGGTAAGAGGCGCAGATGCCCAAGGGCAAGTTTGCTCAGTGCACCCAGCTTTGCTCTTGCTGGGGACAAGAGGACTCACGTGCCACAGCCAAGGGCCCTTAGGTCCTCTTGCAGCTGGCTTATCGGGACGTGAGTTCTGGAGGGCCAGGAACAAACAGGGTTCAAGTTCAAGGGCTTGGCTGGCAGAAGGGGCCTGGGTCATTCACCGCTGTCCCCTCTCCCTACTGGCACATATAAGACGCTAGTCACACTTGGGAGATGAGAGGGGAAGGTGCCTGCAGCAAGATGGATGTGGGCAGCAAGGAGGTTTTGATTGAGAGCCCGCCGGTGAGTGCGACCATGTGTGTAGAAGTGTGTGTGAGCTGGGTCCTGCTTCTTCCAACCTCCTTGAGCCTGTTTCCTCCTCTTGATTCATTCACTTAACTAACCAAGACTGTGCTGAGTTAGGGCAGGGACACCAACCACCAAGACACAGTCCTTTGGGGATAGACGTGGCAGCCAATAATACCAGCGTGAGGGGTTGAGTGAGAGTCACCACGGTGGTCAGTGGAAAGGGCTGCAGAGAGAGCACTGTGTAAGCAGCCACTATTTGGGAAGTCAAGGAAGCTTCACAGAGAAGATGACATTTGAACTGGCTCCAGAAAGATAGGTAGGGGCTCGCTAGGTGAAGGAGGCAGGTATTGCAGGAAGAAAGGGTAGTAAATATAAAGGAGGGAGGTGTGAGACAGCGTGGATTATTTGGGGGAAACAGAGAGGGACTGGGCATGGTTGGGGTGCCAGAGGTCTGGAAGAAACAGCAGATGAGACTAGCAAAGCAGATTCTCTTGGGTCTCTTCATGCTAGACTTCATGTCTAAGCATTTCTATTGGAATCCAGGCCACCTCTTCCAAGAAGCCTTCTCTGATCTCACCCTCTTCTCCATGTCCATAGCATTAGTGTTCAGCTGTGGGAGGGTGTCCAGCTCGTGCAGGGAGAAGAAGGGCCAACCTCGTGATCTCACACCTGTCTCTCTGCCTGCCCCACCATGTCAGGACTACTCAGCAGCCCCCCGGGGCCGGTTCAGCATCCCCTGCTGCCCTGTGAGCCTCAAACGCCTCCTCATCGTGGTCGTGGTGGTAGTCCTTGTGGTCGTGGTGATTGTAGGGGCTCTGCTAATGGGTCTTCACATGAGCCAGAAACACACCGAGATGGTGAGCAGGCCTGGGATGGAGTGGGCAGTGGATACAGGACATGCCAAACAGAAGGGCTAGATGGGCTGAGTAGACAATGAATGGTCTGAGGGGACTGGAGGGGAGGAAGCAAGGGAGCCTCAAGAAAGGACAGAAGCATGAACCTGGTGGCAAACCTGGCTTGGGCTGTTCCACCAGGCTTGTTGCTGGTGTTGACAGCCTGTTCTTATCAGCCACTCTGAGCTCTCGGGGAAGAAGGGGTTGCATTTGAGTAACGAGGGCTGAGGGTGGACATGGGTGCCAAATGGATGAGTGGGGAAAGAGAAATACCAGTCCACCCTGTGCCCTCCCCCAGGTCCTAGAGATGAGCATTGGGGGGCCAGAAGCCCAGCAGCGCCTGGCCCTGAGTGAGCGCGTGGGTACCACTGCCACCTTCTCCATTGGCTCCACTGGCATTGTAGTGTATGACTACCAGCGGGTAAGTATACTTGGACCTCCCAATGCTGGGGATGGCGGCCAATGGTGAGACTTTGCTAGACCCACCCAGCTATGCCATTTCATGCACATCCATCTTTCCCCAGCCCCTTACCCTTTTGCCTCCCCAGGCTGATCCCCAGCTTCTAGTAAGACTCCCTCTGGTGCCTAACCTAGAGGGAGGTAGCCCAAGGTCAGGGTTAAGGAGTGAGCAAGGCAGGGACTTCCTGAATGAACTCTGGGGTTTTGGTCCTCAGCTCCTGATTGCCTATAAGCCAGCCCCAGGAACCTGTTGCTACATCATGAAGATGGCTCCGGAGAACATCCCAAGTCTCGAGGCTCTCACGAGAAAGTTCCAGAACTTCCAGGTGCGTGTGTGGGTGCAGAGGAGTAGGTTGCTCAGAGGAACATTTGAGATGACAGCTATTTTGCACCTGTAGAGCGCTGCCAGGTGAGTGCCCCTCTCCAGACTCACCTGTACCACACCTCCTTCCTCCTATTCCCCAGCCCCGCTCTGATGCCAAGCTGCTGTCCTCAGCTGAGCCTCACCACTTGGGGGCTTCTGACTCCTGCACAGCCCCCTCTATATTGGTAAGGAAACCAAGGCTTTTAGGAGGCTCAGAGAGACAATCTCACATGCTTGAGGCCCCACAATAAGAGCCACAGGTGAGACAAAAATTCAGTTCCCAGACTCCAAATCAGGTGCTCTTTCCAGGTCAAGCCTGCAGTGTCTACCTCTAAGCTGGGCCAGGAGGAGGGCCGAGATGCTGGCTCAGCATCCTCCATGGACCTGGACTTCCTGGGCACCACAGTGAGCACCCTGTGTCGTGAAGTGCCCCTCTACTACATCTAGAACCCCTCAGGTGAGCAGGTGTGACTGCCAGGGCACTGAGCAGCTGTGGCCCAGGAAGGCTTGGGCCACTTCCCCATGTCAGCTGACCAAGCAACAGGGAGGATCCACTGAAGCCAGGTCATCTAGGGAGCTCAGGGGAAGGAAGGTTCAGAGACACCCCCTCCCAGTACCTCTCCTTCACATAATAAACAGTGTTTCTTTGCTTCTCAGGGCCCGTGGAAACCCCAAGTGGACAGGAAAGATCCATGAGCAAAGGGTCTTTTGCAGAGAGGCAGGAAGCTGCTCCTGCCCATACCGCAGACACTGGCGCTGGAGAAATGGGAGCTGTGGGGAGAGGTGGGGACGGGCAGAGGAGATGCGGCTCCTGGGGCCAGGGCGGCTACTATAAAATAAAGCAACCCGACTGAAAAACGAAGTGTGCGCCTCTTCGACCTCACACGTGCCCTCGGGCCCGCTCTTGGTGGGTGGGCAAGGGGAAGGATAAGACCTTGGGAAGCAATGGGGGTTTCCCCCTTCCACTTCTTCCAGGAGTGACGCGGGACTGGGGCCAGTAGCGAGGGGACTAGGCAATCCACGGGCTTGAGGCGCCCCCCAGTGGTGTGTCCCGAGGGAAGAAGAGAGACAGAGACGGTCAGAGATCTAAAGACGGAACTAGAGAGACAGGGACCGCGATGGGAGACAGCGAGGGTCCGAGAAAGGCAGAGACCGAAAGAGGCGGGCGGAGAAACGCAGTCAGAGACCGAGGAGGCAGAGGCGAGCAGAAGCCCGGGAGTGACCTGACAGCGTGTCTCTCTGCCCGGGACAGGGCTCGGGCCCGGCGCCCACGGGACCAGCCGCCGCTAGAGGGCACCTCGCGGGAGCGGCCGTCGGCCGGGCACCCTGGGGCCCGGCGCCCCCTCCCCGGGCCGCCGCCCCGCTTCCCGGGCCGCCGAGCCCCCTCCCGGGGCAGGCCGGCTCCCCACGCTCCCCGCCCCCGGCTGGCGCGCGGCCCGACCCGGCTGTGCGCCGTCCCGGACCCGAGGGAGGCCGAGCTCCAGGCGAAAACCCGCCCTCCAGCGAGCTCATTTCCCTAAAACCGGGGGGGGGGGGGGGGGGGGGGGGGGGGGGAGGAGAGAAGGAAAGAGGGAAAGAAGGGAAGGGAGCGGAGAAGGCTGGAGGCGCCGGGAGAGAGCCGAGGAGCCGGGCAGGAGAGGGGGCGGGAGACAGGAAGGAGGGGGGCGAGGACAGGGAAGGGGGAGAGGTAGGGACGCGCGAGGCGGGGGTGGGGGGGTAGCGCGGGGAGGGAGCGCGCGGGCGAGCGGAGGGGAGCGCCCTCCCCTCGCCGCCAGTCCTCCGCTTCCCCTCTCGCCGGCTCCCGCGTCCGGGCGCGACCCGCCGCCGCCACCGCGCCCGCCGCCGCCGCCGCCGCCGCCGCCGCCGCGCCCTCCAGCATGACCGGCGTGGCCCGCCTGCCGCTGCCGCTGCTGCTCTGGCTGCTGCTGCTCGCGCGCCCGGGCGGGCCACTGGACTTGGCCGACTACACCTATGACCTGGGGGAGGAGGAAGACTCGGAGCCCGTCAACTACAAAGACCCCTGCAAGGCGGGTAGGCGCCCCCCACCCCGCCGACCCGCTGGGGCGCCGGGGCTGGGGCGCGGGCAGGCCCGGCGGGGAGGCGCGGGCTGCTTAGGGTTTGGGGTTGGGGGAGGACAGTCCAGTGTGGGAAGCCGGGAGCTGCCTGGTTGGCAATGCAGTGGGGAACAAAAGAAAGAGGGAGAGAGGGAGGGGGAAGTTTGGGGGACTTTTAGGACTGAAGTTTTGCTGCTATTTGTGGAAGCTGCTGCCGCTGCCTCCTCTTCCCAGAGGATTCCTGGGGAAAGCTCTTTGGGTCCAGGGAGAAACCTGCGGCCAAGGAGGCTTTTCCTCCTGCAGGAAACTTTTCTGGCCAAACTCCCGTGTGTGTGTGTGTGCGTGTGTGTGTGTGTGTGCGCGCACTTTTCCCTTCTCCCCTATCTGGGGCTCCAGGACGTTGGTGTTTTCCAGCCAGTCTTTCCATCCAGTGCCCCTAGGCTGCACATCTGTCTGCCCAGAGGGTGCGGGAGGTCCGCATCTCTGAGGAGCAATTCTCCTGAGGCCCCCACCCAGCCCAGGAGAAAGAAGAAAGTTTTTCAAGAGCTCCTCTGATATCATGCTCCTTGGGTATCCCATGGTCACCCCACCAAACACAGCAACCTTCTGGGACAGAGGAGAGAGCTGTCAAAGTTAGAGAAGCCAGCCAGGGAGGGGGAATTACCTCTGCCCTTAAGTGCCAGAGGGACCTAACAGGCCAAGTTAGGGTGGAAAGGGGAAAAACACAAGAGAACTCAAATACTGTATATCAGCTCTCTCAGTTCACAGACACTGGAGGCTAATTAGCTGAGGTCAGGCCCCCGGAGTGTGTGTTTGTGTGTGTGTGTTCTTTGTCCATGAAGACCCCAAGTAACCCCTCACTCCTGCTGGGCCCAGAGGGGTCCTGCCCCTGGAGTGACCAGATGGCCAGGCACTCAGGCCGTTTGCCTAATCAGATGACCCTGAACAGGCTGCCTGGGACAAGAGAACACACAGGGCATAAGATATCAGAACCTTTCCTCAACTTCCTGCCTCTGATTTCAGCCTGTCTCCACATAGCCAGGGTCAGGGGCAGTGGCATAGTCCCTAGGGTTCTAGGAGTGCCTGTATGTGGCATAAGGGGTTGGGGCACTCTAGTCCTTACCCTGGACTCCCCGCTTTGGGTGGATGGATCACAGCAAACTGCAAAGGAGACCCTTCTTCTAGTGGGAGGAGGAGAAGCCAAATCTCTCAGCCCTTTTCCACCCCTGCTGGGCTGTGGGTGACCCAGGCATTAGCCACCATCTTTCTCCCTGGGCTTGGGGTGGGCATGAGGCTAAAGCAGATGGAGCTTGGCCTTTGGAGGCAGGCAGACCTAAGGTGTCAATCCTGGACCCACAACTCATTAGCTCTACCGCCTAGGGGATGTTAATTATCATCTCTGAACTTGGCTTTTCTCACCTGTAAAATGGAACTGATAATACGTCTATCTGTAGAGTTGGTGGTAAGGATTAAATATGAGGACATATATAAAACACTTATTAGAGATTAACACACAGTAAGCACTTAATAAATGTTTGCTGCCTACTGCCCTGTGTTCTGTGCCTCACATTCTCGCTTCATTTTTTTTTTCCCTGAGGAATGGGCTTGGTTTTCAGGGAAAGGAAGTGTTCTCCCTGTCCCTGTCCTTGTATCACTTATTTATTCAACTAGTCAACATGTACTGAATGCTAGTATGTGCTAGGCCCTGGGCTTGATGTGGGAGATACAGAAAAGTGTAAGACATGGCCCCTGTCCTCAACGAGCTTTCAGTCCAGTAGGCGCACAAGACACATGGACGTGTAAACAACAGCACAAATCAAGATGGGTGATGTGCCACCTTGGAAGGAAAGGACTTAAAGGCTCAAGGAGCCTCTTGTCCCTCTGCAGTCCCAGCAGTGACAGTGGCAGAGAAACAGTGATCGCAGTAGGCTGGGAAGGTTTAGGGGGTCCTCATGGAGGAGACAACTCCTTAAAGAAGGGGTGGGAAGTCTGATGTATCTCACTCCTGGTTGGACTTGGAGTGATTTTTGGAGGAGGCAGCAGGAGGCTGAGGGCTCTATCCCCAGTCTCAGATTTCATGCTAGGGTGGGGCTGGCTGAGTTGGAACTTCAAACAAGAGTTCTGGAGAAAGCTCTGCACCAGGGTGAAGTGAGGCTGGTGGGGAGCTGGGCCAGGCCTGGGGGGTGGGGGTGGTGGCCGAGAGGGCCCGAAAGCCTGACAAGGCCAAGATTCAGGGTCAGATCGGGCTTCCCTCCTCGGTGTGACTAGTGCAGCCTTGACTGCCCTGACTCCCTGAGACCCCACACGGACACCCTCAAGCCTTAGGTCCCTAGGCTGTTTTCTCTGTGTTGCTGTGTCTTCGTGCCCTCTCTGAGCCCTGGTGGCAGGTGTACCTGGCTTTACCTCCTTTGGATGCACCTAATATGTCTACTTCCCTCTTCTCCCTTGATCCTTTCCAGCTCTCTCCTTTTCTCCTCCTGGCACACAGAGGACTGAGAATGAAAGTCGTGTTGACTCCCCTGGCTCACCTGTGATCTTTCAGGATAACCAGGCCCATTCATTGGACATTACCTCCTGCCGTTACTGTCAGAGTTAGGGCAAAATTGAGGGCAGTAAGGCAAAATTAACACCCTTGATACCCTGGAGAGTTTTCTGGATCTTTTGGGCAACACCAGAACAATAGGCGGGAAGCCACATTGGCTTATGTGTGTGCTGAGAGCTGGTTCCAAGCTTGTACTCTGGTGTGCAGGCTGTCACATGCACATATAACACACTCTGTCTCTCTGTCTCTTCCCTTCTCTCCCCCTTGCCCAGAGAGACTGCAAATCAGCCTTGATTTCTTGTATGATAGGATGCCAAACCATCAAGGTGGGGGGGGGTGGTCCTTCCCTAAGATTCCCAGCTCTGTCTGGCTGCCCTAGGAGACTTGGCCATGACTCAGGACTCTGGGAGAGACCCAGGAGGCAGGAATTGGGACATAGTTGCTGTCATAAGCAGAGAAGCACATGGGGACTACCCTTGAACCAGTCAGGACCTTCCTTTGACCTCAGCTGGCAGCCTAGAGGTTTGCTTTTAGGAGGTGAGGTGTGGTAGTAGCTCACAAACCCTCATCACTGTCCTCAGCCCAGGGCCTTGTGGCCCAGGTTTGGATTTCAAGGAACCTTAGAGGAGTAGGTCACAGGCTCCGGATTGAGAAGCAATCTCTTCTCTTGCCAGACCACATTCCCCCTCCAGACACTCTGAATGAGTCACCCACCCACCTATGCCCCTGCTCCCTGAGTCACCTTCTCTTTTAGGTGCCCCAAGGGAGGAGGAAAAGACAGTCTCCCTGGGCTCCAGATGGAGGGGAACCAATGGGACTCCCCAGAAAGAAGGAACTCTCAAGAATACTAGTTTCTCCAGAGATTTGGGGAGAAGGTATTAGGGGAGGACAGGGAGTGAGTAGAATGTGTCACTCAGGCTACTAGGGACATCCTAAGGATATCCAGGGGAATCAGTTAATCTCTCTGTCTCTTTCTCTCTGCAGCCCCCCATCCATTTTTAAGGGTACCCTTCTCCTTTTGGGGTATGGCCTGTGAGATGTGCACATGCAATTATTTGTATGTTTGACCACACTGGGCTTACACCGGGAAGTAGTAAAGATGGGATTTGGGCACATTTATGGGTGCACCCCTGCTTTATGAGCAAGTCTATTCAACTGCGCATTTGGGTACTCCTGAGTACATGTAAAGGTGCATGCAGACACGCACCAGGGTATAAGCATATAGCTGTGATTAAGTACATGCCCATGTTTGTGGGAGCTTAAGTATGTTCTCCCCCAGCTAGAAGCTTGCATTTGTGTGATGGGCCATGTGTATACCTGGTACACGTGGCATTGGGGCTCCGTCACACAAGTGAGGCTCCTCTCCCTCTCCCCAGAAGGGGATGCCTTGCAACACCCTGGGGGAGGAGACTCTGGAGTCAGGAGCCCTAGCTACAGGATGGGCACATGAGGTCCACCTCACTCTTTCTCCTCTCCTGCTCCCAGCCTGGCAGTGGAGCAGCCACAAGTGCTCCTGGCTGGTTTACAGCCAGAAAACAAAACAAACTTTTGATCCTGTGTTGAAAACAACTACTACCCTGACCCTGACCTCAGGGCTTCCTTCCGGGTAAGGGTTGGGGGGGAGGTGTCCTGGACTTGCCATCATCCAGATTCCCTAGCTTCCCCATGAGGGAATCCCAAATGGGGAGGGCCTTCAAGCTCATCTCCTGGTCAGAAGGCTCTCCTGCCCACCCCGAGTCTCTCCCCACCCCCACTCTGTTCCCACACATTCTTCAGCCATGACATCCCCACCACAGGACGCCCACTCTGCAGAAGAGCTCTGCGGCCATCCTAGGGCCTTCCCGCCTTCCACTTGCCCTGCTCCCTTCCCCCACTGCCCTGGTCTCACAGGCCAGCACAGTTCCGTGGTCTCTGTACTTGGAATTCGAGATTCTGCTTCTGAGCACTCTGGGGCTTCACTCAGCTGGGAGGCCAATGTGGGTGAACCAATGTGCCCGTGGAAAGTAGAGAGCAGATCATGAGTGTATGGGGCTGTTACTGGAGTAATACTCATAGTGGCCATTTAGTGGGTACTTACTATGCTCCATACTCTGTGCTAGGTGCTTCATTTATGTGCCTTATTTCATGCAGTAATTGTAGGAGACAGATTCTATTGTTAGCTCCTTTCTACGTAGGAGAAAATTGAGGTTTAGTGGAGTTTATATGACATGTCAGCTAATACTAGCCAAGCTGGGATTCAAAAACAGGTCTGTCTAACTACAAAGACCTTGCTTTTTGCTGCTGTGTGCAGAGACGAGTCTAAATGTCCAGCCACATGTGTATATGATAATGCTCATGGGTGTAGGCACGTGAGACTGGAGGTGCTCATGTCTGTGCAAAGGTGTGGGGTTATTCATGTGGCATGAGTGTGCCTGTCTGAATGTTGGCAATGTAGGAAGCCACCACTGCCTCCTCGGAGTATACCTCTGAACCTATGATCTTTGCATGTCAGCTAAGAAACGTCTTTTGCTGCTGTCCCATCAGTTGCTGAGCCAAGGCCACCAAGGCTAATGTTTTACGGAAAAGAATCCTTCTCATGTGACAGAAGAGATTCTGGACCAGTTACCCCCCTGGTGACCTTGGGCAACTCATTTCCTTTTGTAAGCCCATCACTAAAGTCAGGGAGGTGGGCTGGAATCTAGCCACTCGGTTATCTCTCCAGCAATTTGTAATTGTACATGCACAGGCAAATGCAGAGGTGGAGTATGGTTTAATGGGCACATCCCCAGTGGGCCAGGATTAAGTGAATTCATTAACAGGAAAGCAATTTGTCAATTGGGAAGCACCACATAGATTTCAACATTAACATAAGGCATCATTATTGCTACCATTACTGGCTTTGTGGGTTTAGAGCTTGTAGTTAGTTTGTGTGTGTTGGAGCTTGTGCATGTGTGTTCTTTTAGAACACACAGTCTAGGACTGTATTTTTGTGTGTGGATGTGTGTGTTTGAGTGTCTATCTTTGTGTATATGGCTCTACGGAGGTAATAAACTTGAGTGCAGTGAGAGCCAGACTAGGAATCAATCTAGCCTATCCAGTGACTAGCAGTGTGGGAGACCATTTCCCTCCTGGGCCTCAGTTTCCATATCTGTAAAATGGAAGACTGGCCTAGATCACTGCTTGAGGGACTCCCACGTTCTGTTGATTCAGGCAGGTGAAGGTCCATCAGAGTATATATCTATGGGCATGTGTTTGCAGGTCTAAAGAATGTTGATGTGATACTTCACTTGAATAAGCGTTCTGGAGTGCCTTCTACCTGTGAGGGTGGTGCAGGCTCTGCTTGGGGGGCGGGGGGTCGTCTCTGTGACTCACATAGCTCTGTGTTTGAGGGCATGGCTGTGGATGTCACCAAGTGTCCGTAGGATCACTAACCCATGTGGCTGATTCTCTGTGTGATGAAGCGTGTGTGTGTGTGTGTGTGTGTGTGTGTGTGTCCACCCAGCGGGCCATCTGGGGAGGAGAAACCTGTGTGCAAGGCCTCAAGGTTAAAATAATTTGTGTAATGCTGCCGCCAGGCCTGTGTAGCAGTCAGGATGAGAAGCAGATGTTGCCATGGGTGGAGCTTCAGGGAAGCTGCTCTGTGCCCCACCTCCATCCAGCTCAGCCTCCGCGCCTCCCCCAGGCCAGCTCAGCTTGAATCTAGCCTCTGAGCTCCTTCCATAGCACTCGCTCTACAGCTTTCTCTTGCTCCCGGCTTCTCAAAAGGCAGGCAGATTGGTTAGCTCATCTCTCCAGAAACATCTCTCCCCAGAATCAAAATGTCTATTCAGGGGGCTCTATTCCCCCAGGCCTTTCTTCCTCCAGAGAGGGGACCCTGAGACTCAGAATAGGAGTCACTTGAGAACCGTTAAACTTTTTCTTCCTAGCTGGGCAGCTCCCGTTAAGTGTCCTGGTTTCTCTAATAGGCCTATCTGCTCCAATTTTTATTCACAGCCTCCCCTCAATTTAATTGAAATGGCATTTGTTGAGTGAATACCACAGGCTCGGAGCGGTGCCAAGGTTATGGGCCCACAGAGTAGATGCTCTATCATCTCACCCCCTTCTGTTTCCTTCATAGCATTCATCACTATCTGGAATTCTTGAGTTTAGTGTTTGTTTAGTTATGTATTGTTGAAGGTTAGCTCTATGGAACAGGGACCTCTTTTTTTTTTTTAAGTTTGTTTATTTATTTTGAGAGAAAGAGAGAAGGAGAGAGAGGGAGAGAACACAAGCTGAGGAGAGGCAGAGATAGAGAGAATGAGAGAATTCCAACCAGGCTTCTCGCTGTCAGTTTGGGGCTTGATCTCATGATGGCGAGATCATGACCAGAGCCAAAATCAAGAGTCAGACGCTTAACCAACTGAGTCACCCAGGTACCCCAAGCAGGAACCTCTTCTATCTTGCTAATCACTCGAGTGGTACCTAGCCCACGTGATGCTTACCAAATATTTGCTACCAAGTGATGGGGAAAGTGACATGACCATGTCTTCCTCTGGTAGGGAGTGGGCATCAGCTTTGCTAGATTCTCAACTCAGAAGTGAGCATGAGTCTCCCCAGGGATCCTCAAATCCAGTCCTCTGTGGCCCCCTTCCTCAGAAGGCATTTGAAGACTGACGTTGCTGTGGGGGTAGTGGTGGTGCCCATGGGGTTGGGGCTGTCAGTGCTGGGTAGGACGATTAACTTCCCAGGCCCTGTCTCTTCTCTCTAGCTGCCTTCCTTGGGGACATCGCTCTGGATGAGGAGGACTTGAGGGCCTTCCAGGTGCAGCAGGCTGCGGATCTCAGGCAGCGTGCAACCCACAGGTCTTCCATCAAAACTGCAGGTACTCTGGGTACAGGCGGGGCCTTCTAGGTCCCAGAAATGGGTTCCAGAATTGGAGAAACAAGCAACCTCCCTGTTTCCCAGCCAGGCCCTCTCAGGACAGAGGCCATGAGCTTGAACCCAGCATAATGGCTTGTCTTCCCTTGGGATATCTTTGTCCCTTCCCCACAGGAGCAGCAAGTATAGACACACCCAGGAGCAAAGAACTGACATTCTTTTTGCTTACAGTTTACAAAGTACTTTCAGAAGCATTATCTAACTTTTCCCCAACCACCTTCAAAGGTAAGCTATCAGGACAAGTCCTGCGTTACAGATATAGAAACTAAGACTCATGGAGACAACGTGACTCATTCAAGATCACTTAGCTGGTCAGTGGCAGAGCTGGACAGGAACCCAAGCCTTCTCACTCCAAATCTGATCCTCTTTGCTCAACACCCCAATCCCTCCCGACTTTTCCTCATGCTCTCACTTTGCAAGCTTTTACACTTCCTTCAAAGCCTATTTCAAGAGCTTCTCTGATGAAATCTTCCCTGATCATCCCACAGGCATGATTATACAGCCATTTGCTGTGCTCTCTCTGCTCTCTGTTTACAGTGTTAGTATCTCACTCATGGAACCATATTTCAATGATTTTTTAAATATGTCTATCTCCCCAGCTGGACTCAAAGCTCTTCAGGGTCAGGGATGGGTCCTTCTTATCCCTGGGTGTGGCCCAAGCACCTAGCAACCCACCTGGCACTTGTGAATGGGTGAGAGAATAGGAAGAATGAGCGCCTGGGTTGGCTCAGTACTGTCCAGCTTTGTCACTGCTCTGGAACACAGTGCTGTCCACAGGGAGCCCTCCCATTGCCACAGGATGGGGATTCTCACCTAGAGCCCATTCTGCACACACTCTGGCAGTTGTCCTGTCCAGCATGAGGGAGGATCCTGGCATGGGCAGCCGTGGAGTAAAGGTCAAACTCCCCCAGAGAGGAGCTGGCATTGTAGGGGGACTTGGTGGCTTGATGACTAGCAGGGCTTACTTGGCCTGAGAGGAGACCTGCAGACATGGTTCAAACAGAAGGGAGGAACTGAAGCACTTGGGCCTGCCCCTAACACACCAGGTGACTTGAGGCAAATCTTTGGCCTTAGTCTCCTTGTCTGTTGAGTAATGCACAGTGACACTTGCACAGTACATCCCAGAGAGCCACTGTGTCAAATGAGATCGTGTATTTGGGAACATTTAAAGACCTCAAGCTCTGTATGCTCCACAAGAAGGAAGTTTTATTAGATGAGAAGGGAACATTTCCTAGTCTCAAGTCCCACACAGTTCCTAGGAAATTAGTACACCATTGTTCTCTTTTTCAGTTTTCGTACATTCTCGCTATCCATGGTAGTTATGAATAGAGTTCTAGAATAACCATGTCCTATAAAGTCAATGCAAACACTGAATTAACAAATACCAAGCCATTCATCACCCCTAGGAGAAAGAGAGGGTTAGGTCCCAGCAAGCCTCTTGTCACAATATTTTCACCAACTGATCAGTATGTAACCCTGTCTTATGTATGTTTCTGTTTAAAGACCCCTTATTTAGGGGCGCCTGGATGACTCAGTCGGTTGAGCGGCCCACTTCAGCTCAGGTCATGATCTTGCGGTCTGTGGGTTCAAGCCCTGCGTCAGGCTCTGTGCTGACAGCTCAGAGCCTGGAGCCTGCTTCGGATTCTGTGCCTCCCTCTCTCTCTGACCCTCCCCTGCTTGCTCTCCATCTCTCTCTCTCAAAAATAATAAATATTAAAAAAAATTTAAAGACCCCTTATTTAATACACAGTTGATTCATTAACTTTGAGTTATGGCCAACAGCACTATAACTCAGGGGACTGAAAGAAGTGTATTTAACACACACGTGTTTTCTCCATAGGGCACATCAGATCCTTCTTATACTTAGGAACACTGGACAGCACTCTTGTGCCTCTGTACTATCAGGGCAGAAGGGGGTCATTTTAAATAGCAAACCACCAACAAAAAGTCACCAAATACAGAAAAAAATGTGGCACTAAATAGACTATGAAAAAGATACTTATTTACAATCTGAGAGCTGAAACAAGAAGGCGAAGCATCACCTTGTTCAACCTCAGTTGGCTATGGGGGTGACTCATGGTTTTCACTGTTCTGTGCGTGTCAGTGATTGACCATGACAGAGCTAAGGCTATTGGTTTTGGGGTTATAAATAAGTTTTAGTGAGTGGACAAATACGGAATCCCCCCAAAATGTGGATAGAATATAATTTGTTTCCCCCTACTCCCATTCCTTCACTTGCTATCAATGTCTTCCTCTCCCAATGCCAGGAAACTCTTCCACCCCCACCTGCCAGAGCACGAGTGGGCAGCCACCGAGGAGAAGCCGTGGGAGATGGAGAAGCAGGTCCAGGAGCCGGCGAGCAGCCACATCCAGACCAGAGCGAGTGTGGCCCGATGGAGTCATCCCCTTTGTCATTGGGGGCAACTTCACTGGTGAGCGTGATGCTGTGGGGCCCGAGGGAGCGGCCTGTGTCTAGGTCTGGCCTCGGGGCAGCCCTGTCATGTGTAGTGGTATGAGTGGTACTTTGGGCCTATCTGTCCAACAAGAGGCTGACATTCTGGCAGCAGGTGGAGGTGGGCCCATCTGGACACTGTGACAGCCTGGCCCCCTTCATCCTGGCAGGCAGCCAGAGGGCAGTCTTCCGGCAAGCCATGAGGCACTGGGAGAAGCATACCTGTGTCACCTTCCTGGAGCGCACTGATGAGGACAGCTATATTGTATTCACCTATCGACCCTGCGGGTGAGCAGGGGCCCCTGGGCACTGCACCCTCAGCCATCACCCCAACCCACATTCTGCCCTGGGCACTGCTGCTGCCCCACCTGGGCACGATCCTGTATCATCTGTCCCCAGGAGTTCCCCCTGGTGTGGCTGTGACCCCTGCACACAGCCTGGGCATCCCACGCTCAGGCCCCTCCCCTGTACCTCGTTCCCTCACCCCCCTGGCAGCCTCGCCCGGCCCCTGAGTGGATGCACTCCCCCAGCTCGGGACCGCCCCCCTGAGCTGGCCCCGCCCTCCAGGTGCTGCTCCTACGTGGGTCGCCGCGGTGGGGGCCCACAGGCCATCTCCATTGGTAAGAACTGTGACAAGTTTGGCATCGTTGTCCATGAGCTGGGCCACGTTATCGGCTTCTGGCACGAGCACACACGGCCAGACCGGGACCGACACGTCTCAATTGTGCGTGAAAACATCCAGCCAGGTATGCACCTTGACCTTAGTGCCTAGCTGTGTGCTGCACCTCCCCTCCCTCCCCCATTCCCCCCACCATTCCAGGGCCTCTAGTAGGGGTGTGAGCTGCTCCCTGGAGCCATAGCTTGTGGTCAACTCAGTGTTATGGCAGCCCTTGCCCAGGGCCCAGGTTGGTCCAGACCCTGCCCCTGAGGCATCTGCTCCCTGCCAGTAGCAGCTCAGAGACTGCAGATCCATTGTGGAGCTGTTGGGGGCTGGGAGAGGTCTTGGTCCTGGACACAGAGGGCATCCAGAGCAGCCCAGAGACCAGCTGGCCTTGGAGGGGTGGGGAGGGGAAGAGTTGGCCCATCCCCCATGCCACCTCAGCCTTTCTCTTCACTTTTACCCAGTCTTCTCCCCTCCGTCTGTTTTCTCCTCTAAGGGTTTTTTCTCTCTTGTTTCTCCTGGCTACCCCCTCTCCCCTCCCTTCCTGCTTCCTTCATCCCTCCCCAGGCCTCCTCTACTTTTCCCTGCTTTCATCTCCCTGTGGTTCTAGAAATGGGTGCTTCCTTCCCATACTCTCTGAGCCTTCCCTCCAGCCAGTCCTCGTTGGCCCTGCCCCTCTGCTGGACCGACTCTTCTAGAGACCCGCCCCTACCCCCCAGACTTCCCTTGGCTGCTCCCTGGACCCTCAGGTAGGGGGACACCTCTCAAGTACTAAGGGGCCCTACTCCCCACCCTGAAAAGGTTGCACTGTGTGCTACACAGCCCCAACCCTCCCACCCCCCACACCTTTTTCCTGGTCTTCGCAGGGCAGGAGTATAACTTCTTGAAGATGGAACTCCAGGAAGTGGAGTCCCTTGGGGAGACCTATGATTTTGACAGTATCATGCACTATGCCCGGAACACGTTCTCCAGGTGAGAGATGGGGCCTGGACTCCTCTGGGGCAGCCTAATCCTGCCTTCTGTATGCCATTCTTTTTGGGCTCTCACTTTGCACTGGGCTTCCCTGCTGGGGCAGTCACCAAGGATGAGAGTGGGTGGGCTTCTGGGTGGCCCCAGCCCCAAGCAGAGGACCCTTGGGTGCTGCCTGCCCTGCTGTCATCTTCCATGGTGGGTCTGTGGCAGGGCCCGGACTCACGAAGCATAGTCAGTACTCTACACCCCTGGGCTACCTGGCTCAGGAGGCTAAAGTCCAGCCATTCTGCCCGACACAGAATATGTATATTCTGCGGCTCAGAACTGTATCAGTCAAGGGAGCTGAGCTTTTCCCTCATCTGTCAGCCGAAAGAGGCACATTTTTCTAATTGGGAGCATCCTTTCTAATCAGTCTGCTTTTTTATAACCAGCTAATTTTCACAAAGGGTGGCTCCTGCCCTGCCCAGCCCTTTCCTCTGCTCACGAGTGCACACACTCCTTTTCCCTGGGGCCCGCATTCCCCAAAATCATAACCAGAACCCCTAGAGGTAGTGGCCCAGCCTCTGCACGGCAGCTTCTCCTTAGCAGAGTGTGGGAAACAGCCCCTCCCTCCTCCTCTCCAGGCTCCCCTTCCGCGCCTGGCCTTTCCCATGCCTGGCTCCTTCCTCATCCTCTGTCTGCAGTCCTGCTCTGTCCCACACACAGTGCCCCTCCTCAGTCTCCCTGCCTCCAGACCTGAGGGAACAGAGACCAAGGAAGGGTGGTGAGGTCATCCTGCCCCCCCCACAGCCACAGACCTCCCCTGGACATTTCCCACCACATCCCACCCCACCCCCTGCTGAGTTCCACCCAGCTGGGTGTGAGTCAGGGGCCCTGGGGAGGCAGAGGTCTGCCTGTTTCCCTTCGTCCTGCTCCTCCCAGATGGAAACACCCAGGACTTAGCAGGCAGGAACTGGGCAGGGGGACATGGATGGATCGAGAGTCATGGGACTGACCCCAGAAGCTGGTCTGACCACGGTGGAACCTGTCAAAAGCAGCCTGTGCCAGCCAGATGAAGCACTGCCTTGGTAGTGCTGGGAGAAGTTCAGCCACAGCTGAACCAGCACGAGGGGCCACAGAAGCAGGGGCTGGGTAAGGCTAGAGACATGATCTCCGGGGGTCCCAAGCTCTGCTGAGGCTGGGGATCGGACCCAGACTGAGCCAGAACACCACTAGGTCCCCAGGGCACACAGAGCCTGTGTCCCTGACCTCCCAGAGTATTCCTGGGGCTCCCCCAGGCTCCAGCATGTGGCTGCCACGGAGCAGGGTGGCTGCTGGTCAGTGGGCAGCATAATGACAGGGTGAGCAATCTCCACCCGTCCCTGACCCTACTGAGGAATGTCTGGGCTCTGGCAGGGTCGTGACCTTAGGTACACACAGGCACACCACCCCTCCTATCAGACTCTCACCCAGGTCGGGCTTTTCCTCCTCAGGGGCATCTTCCTGGACACCATTGTTCCCAAGTACGAGGTCAATGGGGTGAAACCTCCCATTGGCCAAAGGACCCGGCTCAGCAAGGGGGACATCGCCCAGGCCCGCAAGCTCTACAAGTGCCCAGGTCAGGGGAGGAGGGATGGACCAGGGAAGGGTGGAGGACACGGCCTGAGGCAGGCAGAGGCCAGGGTCTGGGGCTGAGGAGGTTAAGGCTGTAAGTCTTAGAGAAGGACAGCGGCTGCCTGGGGGTGGGGGTGGGGATACCCAGGCAGAGGCAACGTTCAAGTTAAGGAACCAAACTGGGTCTGGGATCAGGTGGTGGCTAAGTCACGTACCTTCCGAGGGTCTGGGAAAATAGATCAGCAGGAGCAGTAAAGGGGGCTAGCAGAGGAATTCTCAGGGACTGAGGTAGAATGAGGCCCACCAAAGGAGCTTGACCTTAACTCTGGAAGCCATGTTGCCTTGACAACAGGGCATCCTGCAGCACTAGGCCAAATAGGTCCAGTGGTGTGGGCTTATATGTGAGGAGCAGGGAGTGGATCTTAAAGGGACAGGCCATCCCAGACTTCCCTCCTCTCCTTAGCTGTTCTCTCCCCTGAGGGATGCCAGAGTTCAGGGTGGGAAGCCAGGAGATTGGGGGGATTAGGCATCTGCAGCCAGCAGTTCAGTCGTTTCCTTTCTTTGACAGCCTGCGGAGAGACCCTACAAGACAGCACAGGCAACTTCTCCTCCCCTGAGTACCCCAATGGCTACTCTGCCCACATGCACTGCGTATGGCGTATCTCAGTCACACCTGGAGAGAAGGTAACTGAGCCTCCCCTCCTCTGCCAGGACCCCAGAGTAAGACAGCATAGTTGATTGTGGCTGTGACTGACCTACCTGGGAAACATAGACCCACTCACTGCACAAGAATGATGGAGCACTACCTTGAGGAGGGGCTGACTTACTACTGGAGAGGCACTTTTCCAAGGGCTTCTCAGATCCATCCACAGGGTTTTCACGTGGTATCTGGACCTCTCACTCACCCCTTTACCTTCAGTGTCCTTCCATGCATTTTTATTGTTCCCAAGAGTTAACTTTAAGACTTTATTTCTCTTGATTGGAACATGGTACTTAATGTACTAGTGCAGTCGTGAGCTTGACTAGATTTTATTACTGGTCACATTGTTCATTCCAACAGCTCTCAAGACCGTTTAGAATCTGAATTCCACCATTCAGCAGGTAGCCATCTCTCTTACTCTGTCTTGAGCTCGTTTGATAAGCATGTCTCTTCTGGGTCTTCTGAAACTGGTCTTTGATTGAAACATTGAACATGACATGAATCAAAGCAGATCCAAGATCCCTTTCTGAGCTGACATTGTTCATCTGTAGACTTTGGGGAGATTTATTCCACTGGCTATGATACCACTTAATATCACTAACCATCCAGCCACGAGTCATCACCTTGTTGACTGGGAAGTGAGCTTCTCAGACCACGCCTTTGTCATCTTTATATCCCTGGTATAGGAAGGAGTTCATAAATGCTGAATATATAGATGGATTTTACCAAATCAAAGCCACTGTTCCACCAGTTGGAGAAACACCTTTTAAAAAGGAAATGACATTTATCTGATGTGCTTTGTTTCAAGTGAACCCGAACTGGCTCCTAATAATCAAGTGTCTCTTTTCTAAATGGCAGCAGGCCATCTGTTTAATTGGGGATTGACATTCAACTCAGTGAGTTGTGATTCCCAGAATTCACTCCAAACCCCTCTTCCAACACACGCACGTGCATGTGCACACACACACACACCCCTTTTGAAAATTGGCAAAGCTTTTGTTCTGAGTTCTCAAGATTACAGACACTGATCACATCTGTAAGTTATTTGAATGTCCTCTGATGTCATTTTTGAGCCTAGAGGCAACAGCCAATTTAAAGAGGTGCTCACTGACTCTCCTCCAATATGAATGAGTTTCCATTCCCTTTCCAAACTATGCTAATTTTATTTTTTGTAATTTGAAAACCATTCTCATTTGCAGTAGACTTTTATTGAGGGTTGAGAGATTCTGTCATTTCTCTCAGTTAACATTCTATCATCCTCCTTCAAAAGTGAAGCCATCCTGGGGTGGCTCACTCAGTTAAGCGTCCAACTTCAGCTCAGGTCATGATCTCACAGTTTGTGGATTCAAGCCCTGCATTGGGCTCTGTGCTGACAGCTCAGAGCCTGGAGCCTGCTTCGGATTCTGTGTCCCCCTCTTTCTCTGTCCCTCTCCTGCTCATGCTCTGTCTCTCTCTGTCTCTCAAAAATAAGTAAAACATTAAAAAAAAATTTTTTTTAAGTGAACCCATCCGTTCCTTATTCTTTTTCTTGTTCTAAATCTAACTTAAAAACTGCTGTCCTTTTTGCTGTCTTGTTCTGACCATGCCCTGGCTTTATCCCTCTGCCAAAGGTCTCTACAACTTCAGTCTTTGGAAATCTCACAGCAGATAACAATAAAAACAACTAAAATTATTGAGCACATGATTGGCCAGGCATGTGTTAAATTCTTTATGTGTTATGTCTTGTAATTAACACAACAACATTCTAGGCTGGGTGCTAATGTTGTCTCCATTTTACATATGAGAGAACAAACTTGGAAAAATTAAGTAACTTGTCCAAAGATTATGACACAAAAGTCTGTGATTTCGATACTGTGTATTCTAAAGCCTGTCCCACATCAGCAATTGTTAAAGTGCCCTTCCAGAGACCTGTGTGCCCACTACATGCCCGGCATCAGGGATGGAGATATACAAGAGAGTCCCCAGCCCCGAGGAACACAGAGTAGGGTAGAGCATTGCTTTTTCCCCTCCCTGTTCAGGAAGTTTGCTCAGGCAGCAGGGATATGGCAGCCTTGGTCAGGTCAGCTTCTTTCCCTGCGGTTCCAGGCTGGCATGGGCTGGCCCCAGTCTCTAGTAGACAAATGCACTTGCCCTAGGAGCCTCTCTTTGCCTTGGGCCTGCTCCCTCCACAACTCCCAGGAGACTCCCCATACTTTTTCAGAGGCCTGCCTGGAGCTCCAGGGAGAGAAGTAGGCTACAGAGTAAATTTTCAAACTCATCAGTGCATAGCTGCAGAAACAGAAAAAGTAAAATTCACTCATGGTTCTGGATGAAATTGTAGAGTTGTAAGTGAGCCAAAGATGGAACCCTGGGGGACAGGAACCCTCTAAGGGCCTGCAGAGGCTGGGGACCCAGGGGAGGATAGCGTCACGAAATAATAGCAACCATTCTTTGCTGTTTACCCATTATGTTCAGGCAAAGTATTAGACAGCTTATATCAGTTTGGTGGTGCGGGTGCTGTCGTCCCTTCAGTGTAGATGAGGGAGTCGAGGCTCAGAGGGTATCGGTAAATCTGCCCAAGTTTACACAGGCAGTCATGGTGGAACCAGTATTCAGATCCAGGACTGTCCGACTCCAAAGTCTACACTCTTTCAACAGTCAACCTTAAATAAACCCGCCTGTGTTTGTGGGTGGACTTTGATGTTTCTTTTGTGCTGAGAGGTTGTTTTCACTTGCCCTCTAGTTTTCTGCTTATTGCCAGAAGCCTGAGTGATACAGAAATTTTATCTTATACCATTATGCAAGGCAAGGATATGTCAAACAAGAAAGAGTCACTTTGGAAGGCTTCTTGTAGGACTCCCATGTCTCTCCTGCACGTCATTAGCAGCTGCTCCAAAGAAGATTTAGAGTGTTTCCCAAGCACAAAGCCAGCCTCTTAAGAGCAGGAAAGTGGTTTCAGGAGATCGCGGTCCATGTTGCAGACAAGACAAAAAGATAAGCACTAAAAATGTCTTGGGTTTGGCAGTGTCCACCCTCATTCCCATCCCTGCCTTGTGATATCCTGCCTATTCTTTAAGTTCCAAATGCCACTCCTCTGTAATGCCTTCCCCGACCCCACCTCCAATCCTCCAGCTGGGTGGAGATGACCCCTCCCTGAAGTCCCTGCTTCCCGGTGCTGAAGGGTGTGGGGCTCTGAGGGTGAAGGGAAAGTTGACCCTCATGCAGCTGTTAGGCAAAATTGACTGGCAGACCTGGGGAGGCCATGTGGAGTGTAAGTTTAAGGGTGTAAGTTTAAGACCCCAAGTGCCTGGGTTTGACTCCCAGCCATGCTATTTGCTAGATGCATGATCTTGGGGAAGTTGCTTAACCACTCTATGCCTTTGTTTCCCTATTTGTAAAGTGGGCCTGGTGGTTGTGCCTCCCTCATGTGGTTGATACAAGGATTAGACAAGGTAATGCACATCAAGTGTTTAGTGCAGTGCCTAGCACATGGTAGGAATTCCTTCAATGTTAGCTGCTACAAACATTCTATAGTTTTTTTTTTTTATGTTTACTTTGAGAGAGAGAGAGGGAGAGAGAGCGCACGTGTGCATGCAAGGAAGGTGCAGAAAGAGAAGGAGAGAGAGAACTCTAAGCAGACACTGGGCTGACAGCTCAGGGGACGTGATCCCACAAAACCATGAGATCATGACCTGAGATAAAACCAAGAGTCGAGGGGTGCCTGGGTGGCTCAGTTGGTTGAGTGTCCAACTTCAGCTCAAGTCATGATCTCACGGTTTCTGAGTTCGAGCCCCACGTCGGTCTCTGTGCTGACAGCTCAGAACCTGGAGGCTGCTTCAGATTCTGTGTCTCCCTTTCTTTCTGCCACTCTCCCATTTGTGCTCTGTCTCTCTCAAAAATAAATAAACATTATAAAAAACCAACAACCAAGAGTCAGATGCTCAATCGACTGAGCTACCCAGGTGCCCAATATCATTCTATCGTCTTAATCTATTAAATGAGTAATCCCTGGTCGACTTCCTGGGTCCCCCCCTTTGCCTCTTTCTACTTCCAGATTCTGGTATGAACCATTTCAAATTTCAAAATCTTAAGCAAACTCTACTCTAATAGTGAAATTAACTTTTGTTGACTGGCATACATAGTACTATTTATGTGTGGCATATATGTATATATCATATGTATGATACATACATGTGTCAATGTTATAAACTTTTCATATAATAACTTAATTTCCTAAGTCCTATGAGGTTGATACTATTACCATTATATTACTATTATGTACAAATATGGAAATGGTATGGAAATGGAGGCACAAAGGTGTTAAATGATGACCCTAAGGTCATACAGCAAAGTCAGACTGAAGCCAGACTGTGGGTCCCTGGGGGTCAACAAATTGTCCCAATTGCTCCCTGAGAGCATCTAACAAATGTGAGGGGTACTGCCCATATGTGGGGTGCACTTGTGAACACTCTGCACCCTTTCTCATTTAATCCCCCAGTTCTGTATGATTACCGCTGCTTTTTAGACAAAGACACCAAGGCCAAAGACGTCAAGCCACAGGCCCGAGTCACCAGCCAGGAAGTGGTAGAGCTTGCCAGGCTTTCTTTGGCAAAGGGCAGTGCCCCTGCCACCAGAGCACAGCTGTTTCCACATGACAGAGCTGTTACAACTCTTAATTAGACATCTCTAGTCTCAATATAGCCATGGTGTGCCTTCCTGGAGGATGCCCCTAACCGCCAGCACAGGTCTCTTCCTCCTGAGTGAGGTGACCACTGATTCCTCTTGCCCGGTAGGCAGTCTTGGGTGGGTCCTTTGGGGTTCTGCCTGTGGGCGTGGTTCTTCAGGCGGATGTGGATCCATCCCCACTGGACACAGCCAGCATAGTTTCTGAGGACGGAGAGAAGCATGCTGAAGGTTCTTGTCAGCTGCTGAGCAAAACTGATCCGAGGCCTCATGGAACAGTGGTGAAGGGAGTAAGTTTAGGAGACAGACTGCCCTCACTCAGCCGTCTGCATTCCTTCATCCACCCAGCAACTCCTTAAAGATGTTTTTGTTGTTTGTCGGATATAAAGGTAACATATCCATGTTGTAAGAATTTTGCAAAATATAGGAATTCATGCGGTAGAAGTGAATATTAATATTCTCCCCTGGATTCTCCTCCAAATCACACGCCCCAGAGTCGGCTAAACATTGGTGACACTTGGTATGTCCTATTAGACTCTTCTAAGTATGTGTGCGTGCATGTGTGTATGGATATGTGGCCTTATGTAACTTGCCCTTTCACTCAGCAAGAATTCATGGTCATTATTCCATGTTAGCACATCAGGTTCTAGTCAGACATTTTCATGGCTGCTTAACATGTTGTCATCCCCATTTCTCTTGATTTCTCAGCCATCCCCTGTAGGTCTCCGTTGATGGATGTTTCATATAAGTTTTTTCCAAGTTTTTATTATTACCAAAAATGCTACAGTAAATACCTCAAAACTTAGATCTTTATATACTTGGGCAAGTGTATCTGTAAAGTAGATTCCTAAAAGGAAAATTCTATTCAAGAAATATTTCTTAAGCAACTACTACATGCCACACACCAAAGATTCCATAGTGAACTAAATAAAATTCCTGTCCTTATAGGGTTTACCTTTTGGCAGAGTCAGGGGAACGGGGGAGACAGACAAGCAAATAAAAACTAAATGCGATAGGTCAGATGGGTGATAACTGTTATGAAGGAAATCAGCAATAGGAGGTAAAGGAGTGAGGTGAAGGTTACTGTGCCATGTGGGATGGTCAGGGAAGGCCTGATTCATGTCAGGCGAGTTGGAGTAGAAATGGACAGAAAGTGAGGGAACACATCAGGCAGATAGTTGGGAACAGCTTCTAGGCAGCAAGTGCAAAGGCCTTAAGGCAGGAGCAGGCTTGGTGTGTTTGAGGACCAGCAGAGTCCATGCGGCCAGAGCCAAGTAAGCAAGGAGGAAAGTGGTAGGAGAAGGGGTAAAAGAAATAGCAGGGGTTTAGATCATAAATGGCCTTAGAGGACATGGTAAGTAAGGACTTTGAATTTCACTCTGAGGAACATGCATTAAAGGATTTTGAGCAGTGGGGAGATACGATCCAATTACATCATGAAAGCTCTGCTCTGCTGGGAGTCAAGATCAAGAGCAGGACTATTGAACTAATCTTGGAAAAAGAAGATGGTAGGGCCAGATCTGAGAGTTTAAGAAGGGAAACAGATGGTTTGAGTAAAGGGGAGGAGAATGTAAAAGGTGTGCCTGGCGGCACTAAGGACCCGGGTGGGGTCAGTGGTCTTAAATTTCAAGTGCGCTGATCAACATAGGTGTATTTCCTCTAGTCATGACTTCCGGCCATCTGGGAGCAGGCACAGAGTAGGTAGAAAATTGGATTTAAGCAGGGGTGTGGTTTTCAGGTGAATACAATGAAGAGAGGAAAAACAGAGTTGAGGTCCTACACAAGGAGATGATGATAAAGATGGACCATGGATCTGCTTTGAAGTGAGGTGACTACCCCAGGTCTTTGCCACTTGGTCTGTGTTCTCCTTTGGTCATTTTCTAGAAAGATGAACTATTGGAAATGGGCACACTGTCTCCAGAGTAAGAGCCAGAACAGATTCTCAACTTCAGTTTTTCAAAATACCAGGACTTGTATCTTTATAAGAACGAGAATAACACTCAATGATGACTTATAATAATCATCAAGATTACGTACATCAAGAGTACGATGGTGCAGTTTTCAAAACCTGGTCTTGCTCGATTTCATCTCAGAGTGCCACAATTCATAAACACTTCCCCAAATACAACACACTTCAGCTCATATACAAATCAGAAGAAAAGAGGCAAGATGGGCTATGGGTTCCAAGCCAGGCAAGGACCGATGTGAGTACATGGAGATTGAAGGTGGGAAAACCCCATAGGCTCAGAAGGTTGAGGGTCATGATGAACTGGAAGGATTGCTGGACTAGGTGTATAGAGCAGGTGAACGAGGAGAGATTGGGGCTTGTGGATGGACAGTGGGGTGCTCGAACTTGAGCTTATGGGGGATGCATGGTTATTGATGATAACAAGGTCTAGGGCATGCCATGCCATGTGTGGCCGAGAAGAGTGGAGAGAGGAAGTCATGGAATGGAGAGGCCTAGAAATGGGAAGGGTGGTCTAGGTGGCTATTGAAATCACCAAGAATTCTGAAGGGGTCAGTGTCAGGGAGTGACCGACAGCCAGCCTTCTTCTCTGACCATCGACCATCACAGCAGTGACACAGGGTACAGACCGCAACTGCCAGTGCCTGCTTTGGGATCTTTTTCATTCTCACCTCCACTCTGACTACCTCTAACTCTGCAATGAGCTAGAGGGGAGATGGATCTTCTTGTCCCCTTTTCCTCCAGAGGGAAGCCAGCTAGACCTAACAGGTGGGCCCCTGGGCCATTTATGTGTCCACTGTATACACCTCTCAGGTCACCATGAACCGTTCCTGCTTGTTGGACTCTAAATACAAAAGGGGATTTGGGGGCACATTCTGGAAACTACTAAAGTGATTTCCCTCTTGGAAAGCACCTCTCTACCTGTTAATATGCCCACTGCTGGGGAGAGTTGTTACTTACCAAGGTGTCAAAGATTCCTCCAGTATTACGTGACCTTTTGATGAGTTCAAGGCTGAAATGAGTTCATACACAGGAGGCGCTTAGGGCAGTGGCTGTACCTGTGAGATGCTACTTCAGGGTGAGGTGCTCTTTACTCATTTTATGCTCATGACAGCTGAGGTCAGAGAGGTTGGGTGATTTACCCAAGGACTCACAGACAGAAATGCAGAGATGAAATTCTAACCCAGGCTCATGTGGGTGGAGTCTGAGTTTTTTCACTCAGTGATCTTTTCATGTGTATTTCTTATCCTTCTAAATCCTAAGTCCCTTGACAGGGACAGACCTTTAACCCACTCACAAAGATTCAGATCTGGTATTCCCCTCAGCAGCTAGCACGACCCCTTGCCTGGATTCAGCATTCAATAAATATGTGATGACGGGTGACTCAGCCCATCTCTTTGCCTCTGCCTCTCCTCTCCATTTCATTCCCATTTCAGAGCCCCTAGTACCCACATGCCACCCTGGGCCCTTCCTATCATCAAGACCTCACTCCTCTAATGGTGCTGTGATTGGTGTTACTTAAGTTGACCAGGAGGAGAGGTGGGTTTGCTTAACCCAAAGCAGTGGGCTCCTCACTAAGGGGATCAGTAAAATGAGACCTCTGGTCTTGTACAGATATTCAGCAAGGCCATGTGTGTTAAGTGAGGGATGAGTTATCAGAGAAAGCTGGCTGTCATTGGTGACACCTGGGGAGAGAAGTGACATCCCTATGCCAAGAGCCCCTTCACTATTTATGCAGAGTAAGGTAGGCAGTGGTCATGGGGCCAGCAGACAAGGCTGGTGGGGAGCTGCGTAACCCTCTTCTCTTCCCCTTTCCCCTAGATCATTCTGAATTTCACATCCATGGACCTGTATCGCAGCCGCCTGTGCTGGTATGACTACGTGGAGGTCCGAGACGGCTTCTGGAGGAAGGCACCCCTCCGAGGTAAGCCACTAGCCTGCCGCCTGGCTCCTCTGTGGAGCCTTCTTTTTTTTAAACTGAGGTCTGATTGACATGTAACACCCTCTTAGTTTCAGGTGTACATTATGGTGATGGAGTATTTTCATACATTACTAAAGGATCCCCATGATAAGGGTAGTTACCATCTGTTGCCATACGATGTTATTACAATATTATTGCTTATATTCTCCATGCTGTATATTACATCCCCGTGCCTGATTTGTTTTATAACTGGAAGCTTGTATCACTTCTCAGCCTTCTGGCTAAGATCAAGTGTACAACTGGAAGCTTGTGTCCCTTAATCTGTTTCACCTATTTTGTCTACCTCCCACCGCCTCCCCTCTGGCACCCATCAGTGTGTTCTCTGTATCTGAGTCTGTTTCTGTTTGTTTTGTTTGTTCATTTGTGTTGTTTTTAGATTCCATGTATAAGTGAAATCATATGGTATTTTTGTCTGTTTCATTTAGCGTCATACCCTCTAGGTCTATCCAAGCTGTCAAAAATGGCAAAATCTTGTTCTTTCCTATGGTTGAGTAATTATTCTATTGTATGGATATCCCCCATCTTATTTATCTATTCATCTACTAAGGGACACTGCAGTTGCTTCTATCTCTTGGCTGTTGTAAATAATATTGCAATGAACATGAGGGTGCACATATCTCTTTGAATTGGTGTTTTCATTTTCTTTTGATAAATACTCAAAAGTGGAATTGCTGGATCATAAAGTAGTTATATTTTTTACATATTCTTTTTTTTTTTTTGAGTTTATTTATTTATTTTCAGCCAGGGGTAGGGCAGAGAATGACGGAGAGAGAGAATCTCAAGCAGGCTCCACACTGTTAGTGCTGAGCCTGAAGCACAGCTCGATCTCACAAACCATGAGGTCATGACCCAAGCCAAAATCAAGAGTCTGACATTTAGGGGTGCCTGGGTGGCTCAGTCGGTTAAGAGTCTGACTTCAGCTCAGGTCATGATCTCACTGTGGGTTTGAGCCCCATGGTGGGCTCTGTGCTGACCGCTCAGAGCCTGGAGCCTGCTTTGGATTCTGTCTCCCCCTCTCTCTGCCCCTCCCATGCTCATGATCCTGTGTGTGCTCTTGTGCTCTCTCTCTCTCTCAAAAATAAATAAACATTAAAAAAAGAGAGAGAGTCCGATGCTTAACTGACTGAGCCACTGCGCGCCCTGATAGTTCTATTTTTAATTTTTGAGGAATATCCATATTGTTTTCCAGAGTGGCTGCACCAGTTTGCATTCCTATCAACAGTGTACAAGGGTTCCCATATCATCACTTCCTCAAACCTGTTATCAGTTGTCTTATTTAACCAAGCTCCACACTCAGCATGAAGCCTGATGCGGGGCTGATCCCATGACCCTGGGATCATGGCCTGAGCTAAAATCAAGAGCTGGACGCTCAACTGACTGAGCCACCCTGGCACCCTCTGACTTTTTTTTTTTTTAACTTGTCTTCCTGATAGTAGCCATTCTGACAAGTGTGAGGTTGTGGTTGTCATTTTCATTTCCTGATGATGAGTGATGTTGAGCATCTTTTCATGTGTCTGTTGGCCATCTGTATGTCTTCTTTGGAGAAATGTCTACTCAAGTCCTCTGTGCCTGTTTTTTAATTGGGTTGTTTTTTTGATATTAAGTTGTGTAAATTCTTTATATATTTTGGATATTAATCCCTTATCTGATGTATGATTTGCAAACATCTTCTCCCATTCAGTAACTTGCTTGCTCATTTTTTTGATGGTCTCCCTCACTGTACAAACACTTTTCAGTTCTATGTGGCTAATTCCTTCTTACACCTACTCATATTATATTATCTTTATCCTCCCCTGAAACCCAAAGCTTGGCCAGGGGTGATCTGGTGTGAGAATCAGGAGTCCTGGTAGAGTTAGTGCCTGCTAACTCCATCACTGAGTGTATAACTTTGGGCTAATCCCTTCCCCAGTCTGGACATCAGGGTCTTTGGCGTGGGCTTCTGGGCCTCCCTCAGAGGTGACTCTCAGTGTGTGGGTCAAGGGAGTCATACAAGTTGATGGAGGGAGACAGACAGGCACATCTCCACCGTTCCAGGCTCTCCTCCTCTGGGCAATTACAGAGGCTCTGTTTTCTCCATCTGCAAGGTCTGGCTTAAGAGTACCCACAATGCACCCTGGCACACCAACAGAGGGCTACCTACCTGGCACAAACTTGTTTGCATAGGATACTTTGTCCCTTGGTGGTGGGGGGTGGTGAGTAAGTGGGGGATGAGTAGTCAGAACCACAGGACAGAAGGTATTTTAATGGATGTAGAGTTAGGGCCAGGAGAGGCTTTTGCATCAAGCCTGAGGAGCTGTGTGAATTCTCCTCCAATCTGCACATAACCCTAAGTAGCCCAGGACTGTTTATTAGCACTAGAACCTTTGCTCCACAGCCTGTGCCTGAAGCAGGATGACAAACCGTTACTAACCATCTCTTTCCCCCTGGTTTCTGATATTTGAATATTTCTTATTAGTCACCCAAAGCAGTTGTCATTACAACACTTCCTCCTGCAGACGTGTTAGCATTTCCAAGATTACAGTTTCTTTTTCATAACTTACATTCCTGGGTCAGCACCCTCTGTCCCTTGCTGAAGGTTAGGAAACACCCAATCATACTCAGAACACACAAACCATCCCTAGTTGATTCTCCACTACAAAGAATTCCACAAATGGCCAGCCTCCTCTGCTTACACAGATTCTTGTCAGGTTTTATTTCAAAGGGGACATCTTCTGACCCAGTCCCTAGATTCTAATATTTGTTTGGGGTCCTCTGGCATCTCTTGTATTTGGTCAAATGAAAACTTTTGTAACGTGCAAAAAAAGCTGAGTTCGTTCTTGTTTATTACTTCTTTGCATGAAGGTCAAATAAGAAAAGTAATGATGGTAATGTGCTCTTCAAAAAAAGTAAATAGGGGTGGTGAGTGGCTAGGTCGGTTAAGTGTTTGACTCTCGATCTCAGCTCAGGTCTTAATAGGGTCGTGAGTTCAAGCCCTGCATTGGGCTCAGTGCTGGGCATGAAGCCTACTTAAAAAAAAAAGGGTAAATAAAACACGGATACAGTTTGTTATTCTGAGAAGTCCCCTTTTCTCCCAGAACTCATATTCTATCCCTCAAGTGCATAAAATCCTGTAGAAGTCTAGTACTCTGTGGACCTTAGACCAGACTCAGGCCAACTGGAAGGTTTTAAGATTGGGTGCTAAGTGCAGACCTAGGCCAGAGCCCCTGAGCCCCTGGAGTGGTGGGACAGTCTTCCTGGAGGGACAGCCCTGGAGCAGGGAGGGGAGAGGGACCCACTTCAGGCCTCACTGCCCTCTGTTCACTCTGTCTGCACAGGCCGCTTCTGTGGGGGCAAACTCCCCGAGCCTATTGTCTCCACCGACAGCCGTCTCTGGGTGGAATTCCGCAGCAGCAGCAACTGGGTCGGGAAGGGCTTCTTTGCCGTCTATGAAGGTACTGAGGAAGAGTGACGAGGGAGGAGTCAGGTGTGAGGTCCCTGGGGATCAAATGCTTGCTTCTGGCACCCTAGGGGCAAGGTTCAGGGTGCATGAGGGAGGAAGCAGAGACCCCGGTGGGATTGTCCAGGCCTGGGGGCACTAAGAAGCTGGGGGAACATAGGAAGGACTGAAGGAGGGAGAGAGCTGAGCAGAGCATTCTAACTGACCTCACTCTGTGCCCCCAAAGCCATCTGTGGGGGGGATGTGAAGAAGGACAACGGCCACATCCAGTCGCCCAATTACCCTGACGATTACCGGCCAAGCAAAGTCTGCATCTGGCGGATCCAGGTGTCTGAGGGCTTCCACGTGGGCCTCACCTTCCAGTCCTTTGAGGTAGGTTGGAGACCCTTTCGTCCCACCTGTCTGTGGGTCTCCCGGTGTTGGGCCCTGGCCACCAGAGCCGCTCCAGCTGATCCAGCCCCCGACCCTCAGATCGAGCGCCACGACAGCTGTGCCTACGACTACCTAGAGGTGCGTGACGGGCACAGTGAGACCAGCACCCTCATCGGGCGCTACTGTGGCTACGAGAAGCCGGATGACATCAAGAGCACTTCCAGCCGCCTCTGGCTCAAATTCGTCTCTGACGGATCCATTAACAAAGCTGGCTTTGCTGTCAACTTTTTCAAAGGTGCTCCTTCTCCGTTCCCTACCCGGCCCACCCCCATGGCCATTCCATCTCCTCCATTTCTTCTTTTAATTTTTATAATTATATTTTGTTGTGGTAAGAACACGCAGCTTGAGATCTGTCCTCTGAATGCATTTGTAAGTGTACTATACTCTGTTGCTGACCAAAGGGAGGGTGCCATACAGCAGATCTCCAGGGCTTATTCATCCTGCTTGATGAAAACTTTATGCCTATTGATTAGCAGCTCCCCATTTCTCCCTCCCCCAACCCCTGGCAACCATCATTGATTCATTGATTGATTGATTGAATCTATTTTAGGTAGCTTGTGTAAGTGGAATCCTGCAGTATTTGTCTTTCTGTAACTAGTTTATTTTACTGAACATAATGTCCATAAGATTCATCCATTTTTATTCCACTGTGTGTATTTAATGCATTTTTTAAAGTGAAGGGTAATTGACATACAATATCCTATTAGTTTCAAGGGTATATTATAGTGACTCAACATTTATGTACATTAAAAAATGGTCACCACGATGAGTCTAGTTACCATCTGTCACCTTACAAAGTTGTTACAACCCTGTTAACTATATTCCCTATCCTGCACATTACATCCCCATGTCTTGTTTTATCTTTATAACTGGAAAACTGCATGTCTTAATTCCCTTCACCTATTTTGTTCATCCCTCCTCCCCCTTCCTCTGGCACTCATCAGTTTGTTCTCTGTATATATGAGTCTGTTTCTGTTTTGTTTGTTTGTTCATTTGTTTTGTTTTTAGATTCAACATATAAGTGAAATCTTACAGTATTTGTCTAGCTTATTTCACTTAGCCTCATACCTTCTAGGTCCATCATGGTGTCACAAATGGTAAGATTTCATTCTTTTCTGTGGCTGTGTAATATTCCATTGTTTGTGTATACCACATCTACTTTATCCATTCATCTATTGATGGATGCTTTACTTTCTTCCATATCTTGGCTGTTGTAAAGAATGCCTCAGTGAACATGGGGTTGTACATATCTCTTCAAATTGGTGTGTTTTCATTTTCTTCAGATAAAAGCCCAAAAGTAGAATTGCTGTATCATATGGTAGTTCTGTTTTTAATTTTTTGAGGAATCTCCATACTGTTTCCCAGAGTGGCTGCACCAATTTACATTCCCACCAACATGCAGAAGGGTTCTATTTTCTACACATCTTCCACCAACACTTGTTATTCTTATCTTTTTGATACTCTCCATTCTGACAGGTGTGAAGTGATATCTCAGTGTGGTTTTGATTTGCATTTTCTCTGATGATGAGTGCTGCTGAGCATCTTTTCATGTGTCTGTTGGCCATCTGTATGTCTTCTTTAGAGAAATGTCTATTCAGGTCCTTTGTCCATTTTTAATCAATAGTTATTGTTTTATATTGAGTTCTATGAGTTCTTTATATATTTTGGATGTCAATCACTTATTTTATATAACATTTGTGAATATCTTCTCCAATTAAGTTGCCTTTTTATTTTCTTGATGGTTCCTTCACTGGGCAAAAGCTTTTTAGTTTGACATCGTCTCATTTGTTTATTTTGCTTTTGTTGTCCTTGCCTGAAGAGACTGAGCCAAAGAAAATATCACTAAGACCAATGCCAAACAGCTTACTCCCTCAGTTTTCTTCTGGGAGTTTCATGGTTTCAGGTCTTATATTTAAGTCTTTAACCCATTTTGAGTTTCTTTTAGTGTATAGTGTAAGTAAGTGGTCCAGTTGCATTCTTTTGCATGTAGCTGTCTGATCTGTCCATTTATTAAAGAGGCTGTCTTTTCTCCATTGTATATTGTGCCTCCATTGTCATAGGATAATTGAGTATATATATACATGAGGGTTTTTTTTTTTTTTCTGGACTCTCTATTCTCTTCCATTGATCTGTCTCTTTTTGTACCAGTACCATACTGTTTTGATTTATATGTTTTTGATCATAGCTTTGTACTACAGTTTGGAATATGGGAACATGCCCCTCAGCTTTATTCTTTCTCAAGATTGCTTTGGCTGCTTCAATCTTCTGTGGTTCCATACACATTTTAGGATTATGTGTTATAGTTCTGTGCAAAGTGGTGTTTTGATTGGGATTACGCTGGATCTATAGATTGCTTTGGGTAGTATGGGCATTGTAACAGTGTTACTTCTTCCAATCCTGTGGCACATTTTCTTTATCCTCACCTGTTGGTAACCATTTAGGCTGTTTCTACATCTTGGCTATTGTGAATACTGCTGTGGTGACTCCATGTCTTCTTTATTCACCCATTCTACACAGAGATTCTATGAGGGATGCATAGACCCTGGTACCCTGTCCTTGAATTTATGGCCTAACTGGGGAGAAGAGGTCAACTGCACTGAAAAACTGCATATCTCATTGAGTAAATGACAAACATATGTAAAAGTAGCTGACACGTGGTAGGTGCTCAACTGTGAATTGAAATAGTAGTTCAGGAGTTGCCTTAAAGTCCAAAAGTGTGTAGAAGACTTGTGTAGAAGAAATGCCAAGGAGGCATAGAGCCAGGGAGTGCTGTAGAAGCTTAGGGAGGAAGCAAGGCAGCGTGGATTTCTTTTACCTGTGTGACTGTGGGCAGGTAATCTGTCTGAACCTTATTTCCTCATCTGTAAAATGGGGATAGTAACAGTCCCTCCATCACTGGTCATGTCAGGATCGAAGGATAAATGAAGAAAGGCCAGGGACTGACACACAAGAGGCACCAATAGAGGGTGGTGGCCACCAGCCCAGCCGTTGTGGTCAGAGAAAGGCTCTGTGGGGTCTACCTGTCCCCTCCTTCAGGTCACTACCTGTCCCTTTGGGGATCTCGGGAATAGGAACCCCTGGGACTGAGTTGGGGGGCTGGCTGGGGTAGGGAGGGCCACAGCCTCAAAGCTGAGTGGTCCACAGCTGACTCCTGTCCCCTGCAGTGGGGCTGGAGGTGGTCTCAGGAAGCCTGAGGGACACTGGACTTGACTCCCAAGCAGAGTGCAGGAGGCAGGCCCTGGCCTGGCAGTCATTGACACCCTTTCCTCCCAATTGGCAGAGGTGGATGAGTGCTCACGGCCCAACCGCGGGGGCTGCGAGCAGCGGTGCCTCAACACCTTGGGCAGCTACAAGTGCAGCTGTGACCCTGGGTATGAGCTGGCCCCGGACAAGCGCCGCTGCGAGGGTGAGTGCCGCCCCCCCCCCCCCACAGCCCCAGGGCCCGGACCCTGTAGCCCAGATCTCTTAAGCCCTTGGACATACCCGTTCCTGGAAAAGCCGGAATTCCCTAACGCTTTCTTCACTCCTTGCCAACAAGGATCACATTTTATATGGTAGCCCTGCAACCCCCTGAACACACTGACAGCTGTGATGCACTCTGGTATTTTTTTTCTTTTTTATTCACTTAAAATGCTGATCATGACCTGCTGATTGATTTTGTCATCCCCCTGAAGGTCATAATCCCCAGTGTGGAAACCACTGTTCTCAGACAGGCAATGATTTTTCAGCCTCTCCCTAAACCTACCTGCCCCTGAGGTGAGAGCATTCCCTGCCAGCTGCCTTCAGCTCAGCCTGGGCTTGCTGTGCAGCTTTTCTCTGCCCACCTTCCTCTCCCTGCCTCCAGGCCTCACTACCCACAGGCCCAGCCTTCCCTGAGCCCCTCACTCCCCTCCTCCCTCTCAGCAGGGGCTCTGAGAAAGTAGAGAGTATTCATGCATACGACTCCCCAATTCCTCATACTCTGAAGGTGCCCCCCTCACCCTGCCTGCTTCCCTTAGACCCCATCCCCATCTTCTCCTTAATGCACCCTTACCTCTGGCCCTTACCTAGAGTGGGGACTCCTGGCGGCTGATGCCACCTTCTTTGTCCCCACAGCTGCCTGTGGTGGATTCCTCACCAAGCTCAATGGATCCATCACCAGCCCAGGCTGGCCCAAGGAATACCCCCCTAACAAAAACTGCATCTGGCAATTGGTGGCCCCTACCCAGTACCGCATCTCCCTGCAGTTCGACTTCTTTGAGACCGAAGGCAATGATGTAAGTGCCCAACAGGGCTGAGGAGACTCAGGAAGGTCTGTGGCAGCGTGGGAACTCTGCTCAGTGCCTGCTTCCTTCCATATGAAATGCCCAAAGAATGTAGAGGAGGAGAGACTGTTCCCAATTCCAGGAAGCAGGGGAAGGTCGGGGAGGAGGGCTTGAAGGTCAGGGAGCACACGTGGGAATGTGCAGCAAGGCAAGACTCAGTCAGGGCTTGTGTGGGGAGCGCAAGAGGATCCAGTGGGGGTGGCTTGGCACCTTTTTGAGTTGTTAGATTATGTAAGATGGGTGACTAAAGACAAAGGGACAAAAGAGAACCTTCCCAGGTGGGGGTGGTCAGGAGAGGCTTCCTGGAGGAGGCAGGCCTGGAGCTGCACTGCCCTGCAGGTGTGCAAGTATGACTTCGTGGAAGTGCGCAGCGGGCTGACGGCCGACTCCAAGCTACATGGCAAGTTCTGTGGCTCCGAGAAGCCTGAGGTCATCACCTCCCAGTACAACAACATGCGCGTGGAGTTCAAGTCTGACAACACCGTCTCCAAAAAGGGCTTCAAAGCCCACTTCTTCTCAGGTAACCCGGACTCCCCCGCTGTGAGCCCATCACCCCTCCTCCCTGCCACTCTCCCCCTTCACTTTCTGGCCCTCCCTGTTACCAGGCCAGCAGGGTCTGTCTCCTGCTCCCCCTATTAGCCCTCCACCACCAGGCCAGCCCGTCTGTTCCTGAACCCCAGTACTCCTGAACCCTCTGGGCTGTATGGGAACCAGGCTGAGGATGGGCAGAGCATAGGCATGAAGAAATGAAAGGAGAGGGCTTTCCAGGTTTCAGGAGCCATCATGCCAAGGCCCCAGGGAGGGCAGGCCCTGGAAACACAGAGTTCAGCATGGCCAGAGAACATGGGGTGCATGCAGAGGAGGAGGGTGTTTGTCTGAGACTGTGTGGGGCAGGTTATCGGGCAGTGGCCACATCTCTAATCAGACCCTACACATGCCAAATGGGTTTATGCCGGGGGGGGGGGGGGGGGCTGTGTGGAGAGGGGCGGGGAGCTTCAGAGAAGATGAGGAGCCTCCCTCTTTTCAACACCAAAGCCTTCCCACTCGCCCTCAGGCCACGGGTGGGGGACTCAGATCCAACCAGCATATGTTTATTGAGAGCTGCCCCATGTAAGGCTTGAGATAAGTCCCTTTGATGGATCCATTCTTGGGAGGCCGAAAACGTAGCCGGCCTCTCTGAGTTAGGCCTCCAGGGATCCCAGGAGACCTGTCCCCTGCTTTAGTCTTCCCTCAGACCTTCATCCTGGGGCAAGACTGGTGGTCTTTCAGAGGTACTTAGACTTGGGACATTGATAGTGTGGGGTGGAAACTCCATGAACTTGAGTGGGGGGAGCGGAAGGTGGAGGGAGTGGCTGGAGCAGCCGGTTTTATATGGGAGTAGCCCAGGGATCCTGATCCCCAGCTGGCCTGGTGGGCCGGGCGTGGGGTGGCAGGAAGGCAGGAAGCCCATGGCCTAGTCCACGCTGCCTCCCTGTCCCCCTCCTTTGCCCAGGGTCCTGCATCCTCAAGCCCCCTGTTACCTCCCTGCACCCCTGCCTGCCCCACCTGGATGCCATGCCCTGCCCCTTTGCACTGGTTCCCAGCTTGTCACTGCCAGCCATCCTGCTCTGCTTAAAGTTCCCCACAGCTCTTACCCCACTGCTTGCTGAGACCCCTCCCCTTGCAATGCGAATCCTTTTCTTCCCTATGCCCACCTGGAACTCCTACAGGGTGCTCACCAGCGGGCCGCGGGGATGTGACACCTACTCAGGGGTGGGCTGAGCCCTGGGGAGACCATTACCTGCTTACTCTCGTCTCTTTCTGCCCTCTGTTGCTCCACTCTCAGAGGCGGGAGGGGGACCGACACATCTGTCAGGCTAGAGCCCAGGCTTCTCCACCCCTGGGTACTGCCCTGCCCCGGCCTGACACGGGGCCGCCTGCCCCCTCGGCCCCACACAGAGACGCACACACACACATGCACAGCCACACATGCACACACATGCAGTGCCCTGCTGCCTAAGAAACCTGCAGAGGACCCTCACCAGTGGGCATCAAGGTTCAGCCCTCAGGGCATGGGGCATCTGACTCTGGCCTCCCAGGAGGGGGGCTCTGTGGACTTTTGGGACACCCAGCGAGGAGACCCTAAGCCAAGAAGGAGAAGAAAGAGCCTGAAGACCTTCAGTCTGACCCCAGCCACCTTCTGGGGCATTTGGCACTGGAGGGTGAGTGCCATCTCCTTGTCCGGGCCTGTGTCCACCCTCCCTGCTCCTGCCCCTCCTGCAACCTGCTCCCCGGCTCCGAGGTGAGGCTGTGAGGCTGCCACTCCCACCCCCGCCCATGCAGAGCCCTGCCCTGGGATGCTACAGCAGGCCTTCCTCAGGACTCACTTTTCTGTTACTTATCCATTCAGCCACCCACTTGCCCATGCACTCATTCGTTCACTGAGCAGGTATTTCTTTTACCCTCATAAGTGCCAGACACTGTACTAGGTATTTAGGGTGCGACTATGGGGAAGGTGTGGGGCTCAAGACATTTCAGGGAAGTCTTTGCTCCATTTGTAAGCTGGGACCCCTGAAGTTCCCAGTGTGGTCACAGGCGAGTTCCTGGGCTGTAGGGTGCCCCTCACCCCACCTTCCTGCAGGGCTGGCAGCTTCCATAGGCCCCTCAGTGAGGATCTCCTGTGAGGCTGTAACTGAGAAGGGGCCCTGGAGAGGGACTTGGGGACCCCACCTCTTGACCCTGAGTTCCTCGGGCCCCAAGGGGTCTGATCCACCTGAGAATGGAGTGGAGAAGCAGGACCTTCTGGAAGCAGTGCTCAGGCCCCTCTAACTGACAGAGACCAGGAACAGGGCCCCCTTTGTCATACACCCCACCTGCCCATTTGAACGCCAGCGGGCATCTTTCTACCTCGTGATTCCCCTCTGGAAATCTGGGTGTCCATTCAGTCTATACACCTTCCCTGAACGCCTGACTCTGTGCCAAGCACACAGTCCTCCGAGTGACCACAGACAGACTGGAGCATATGTGGGAGTGACAAACACATGCCTGTAACCATGTGTTTCTCTGCGTGCATGTGCTCATGGGATTGTGTGTGTGGGTTGACCCGAACTTGAGCAGCTGCACGTGTGAGCACACTTGAGTCCACAGGTCTGCTGATGAGCTGTGGTCTCTGCGTTTGTGTGTCTTTGTACCCGTGGACTGGCCCGAGTGCCGGCATATGCATCTGTACCTCTGTATTTGTACCTGCGCACACTTCCTCACACACATGTGGGAGGAAGTAGTGTGTGTCCCATGTACACATGCACACAGGTGGGTGGCTGGCCAGTGATGTGTGCGCATGTGGTATCTTTGTCTGCCTGTGTGTCCTGTGCGTGTGTACTGTGGGCCAGTGTCTGTGCTGCCACGGTGAGACAGCTGCACATCCCCAAGGGGATCCCGTGTCTGTGGGCATGCTGTTGTGTGGGGGTGTCTAAACACACCCCACAGCTGCAGCAGCCAGAGCGAGAGCTCGGAGCTCCCGGCCAGGCCCACCCTTTCCATGGGCTGCTCCCTTTACCGAAGATGGTTTCTCTCCCTCCATAGTGTGCGGGCCTCATGCCCACCCCTCCTGGCCTTCTTCCTGCCACAGGCTCTCTCCCTATCTGTCCCTGTCGCTGTGCCTCTTTTTACCTGCTCTTCCTCTGACCTGGCTGCGCCGGACATGGCTGTCCTGCATGTGTGTCCCGCCGCCTTCCTGCACCGCCCTGTGCGTGAATCTGCCTCCCGGGCCCCCGGGCTGGTTTTCACTGCTCTCCCTCCCTGGTCCCTGCCCTCCACCCCCACCCCTCGGTCCCTTTTCTCCTTCTCTCTCTCGTTTCAGAAAAGAGGCCCGCTCTGCAGCCCCCTCGGGGACGCCCCCACCAGCTCAAATTCCGAGTGCAGAAAAGAAACCGGACCCCCCAGTGAGGCCTGCCAGGCCTCCCGGACCCTTTGTTACTCAGGAACCTCACCTCGGACGGAATGGGATGGGGGCTTCAGTGCCCGACCACCCCCCACCTCCGCTCTGCCATTCCGGCCTGCCTCCTTCTGGCCGGACAGAACTGGTGCTCTCCTCTCCCCTGTCCTCCCCTTCCGTGGACAGGGGACCTTCCCTGCCCCCACCCCCTCCCATTTTGATGGTGTCTGTGACATTTCCTGTTGTGAAGTAAAAGAGGGACCCCCGCGTCCTGCTCCTTTCTCTTGCAGTCTGCTTGTCCGTGTGTCTGTTTTTCCACTTGTCCGTCTGTCCAGTAAGCAGGTAATGGTAGAGGGTGCCCATGTTGGTCAGCTCCAGGCCCCAGCCCTCCCTCCACCCCACTTCTGCTTTCTCTCCCCACAGCTGGGCCGCTCAGCTGGCTCCGCTGGATTGCACTGCCCTGGACCCCACTGTGGCCTTGGCCCCCCGGGGGGAGGAAGCCCAGCCAGCCTCCCGCTTCCCCTGGGGTGATCACCCCGACCTCAGCCCTGCACAGACCCGGCCCGCCTTGTTTGCTCCCCTGCAGACAAGGACGAGTGCTCCAAGGACAACGGCGGCTGCCAGCAAGACTGCGTCAACACCTTCGGCAGCTATGAGTGCCAGTGTCGCAGCGGCTTTGTCCTACATGACAACAAACACGACTGCAAGGAAGGTAAGCGCTGCCAGTGCAGCGCCCGGAGCCACCAGGGCGGGGCTGGCGGGCCCCCACGGACTGGGGGTGGGGACGCAAGAGCACCGGTGCCATCTCCATCTGGCTCAGTGTAGACTCAAGGTCATGGGTGCTCCCGGAGGTTACCTTGGTTTGCTCCCCCCTCATCCACAGATTCTTCCATCCTCAAAATATCCAAACTACCCACCCCTCCGTGTCTCCTTGTGCATGTTAGGAGAGGAAGGGCTCGTACTTGTCCCCAGGCTCCTTTTTTAGACTGATCTTAGTGCTTCTTAAAGTCCATGCGCAAGTCCTTGTCTTCATAACGACCTTCCTGTGGCAGAGAGGCAAGATGGCACAGCGGTTGAGAGCACAGGCTGCAGCCAGGCTGCCTGGCCCAGCCCCGCGGCTTAGCCAGCTGCATGCCCTTGAGCACTTCTGCTTGTTCCTGTGTGACACAAAGGTAACGATAGACCTACCTCAGCAGGGCACAGTGTTCTCTGAAGTGCTCCAAACAGTGCCACACTCATAGCAAGCACAGTCATGTATGTCAACTGTTATTGGTCACACTTCTGACCCCTGGGGACATTCAGAACAGAGTCACCGCCTCCCAGACACTAAAGCCCTGCAGATATTTGAAAACAGCTCTCCTATCATCCCCAACATCATCTGATACCTCTTTGGACATGCTACAACACTGGCCTGTTCCAAGTCACTAATTCCATTGTGTCCCCTGCCTGCTGGGGACATACTACCCCAGCAGCACAACACAGACTTGGCTCTGCCACTGAATGTCTGTGTGACTTTGGGTGAATCACTGCACCTCTCTGAGCTTCAGGTTCTTCACCCACGAGATGACTAACAATGGTATCTGCCTTGCAGCATACTAAGGTTTACAGATCTCACTTGAATAATTAGCACAGTGCCTGGCAAATGCTTCTTCTCACTGTTCTTAGGTGGACAACCAAGGTATAAACAAATAAACTCCAGGCTAAAATAAACAGAATTGAAGCCCTCAGCAGTGACCCAACGGACACTCAAGAGCTTCTAACCCGATCACTTTAGTCTCCCCAAATACGGAGTTCCTGACTCACAGGGCCTCCACATCTTTTAGCTGGAGGGGCCCTATTCTGTGGTTGTCTAAAGTACATCTCTCTCTCTGTACTGTGTGAAAAAGAGTACACTGACATCAACAAGATAGCTGCGAGAGGTTTTACACTTCCAGGGTGGACGGCCTGTGCGTAGCTCTGAGTTATTTTAGAAGCGCTTGTGGTTCCACACTCAAATGATAGGTGAATTACAAATCAGTATTTTCTGACCCCTCCCCAGAGGCTGTGCAAAGTTCAGCAGGGCCCTCAAGAGGAGTGTCCCTCTGGGGTGCCTGGTTGGGTCTGTTGGCAGGGCATGCAACTCTTGATCTCAGGGTCATGAGTTTGAGGCCCACGTTGGGCATAGGGCTCACTTAAAAAAAAAAAAAAAGGGAGTCCCTCTGTCCCCAAGGAGATTGCAGTCTAGCCGGGGGTGAAGTGGGCATACACAGAGAAATTGGAGGGCCCTGAAGACCTGTGTAGAAATGGAGGAGAGCAGTGAATGTGGCTTCGGGAAACCACCAAAGGATGATGGACACAGCCCACAGGTCCACTGTGGAGAGCCAGGAGCTCTACCTGCGTCCACAGAGCCTTTGGGCAGCTTGCACACTGCTCTCGGGGCCTCGTGGCTGTGCGTTCATCCTTTGAGCTGCTGACCATAGGCACCTAGCCATCCCTTTCTCTTCCGTGGCGCACGGTGCCGTGGCCACCCGTTTATCCCCCAAGGAACCTGTCAGATTGGATGATAATAAATAATGAGCATCAGCTTTTAAATTTGTTTGTGAGGCCATGCTTTCAGAGGTGCGAAGGCATATTGCAATGGATCAAGGAGCCATAAACAGTGAGAATGGGATAATAGCAAGTTTTCTTGAAGGTCAACTGAGAAGAAAAGGAGAAAGGATGTGCAGCAGCTGGAGGGGAATGTAGGGCCATGGGGGACCTACTTCAGGATGGGGCAAAGCTCAGGAAAGTCCACAGGCTGGCAGAGATGGCACAGAGAGTGAGGGTGGATAATTTGTGATACAAGGGTACCCAGATGGTGGGTGGCAATGAGCTCCAACCCACAAAAGGAGGGACTCCTTTTTGGAGACGAGGAAGGGGGAAGGTAGGTTTGCAGGGAGGGGCTGGAAAGTTGAAGTTCTTCATATCTGAGCCCCTGATTTTTTTCAGGGAGGCAGGAGGTGAGGTGATCTTCTGAGAGGGAAGAGATGGGAATTGAGAGGGCCAAAGACTTGGAGCCGTTCTTGAGGAGGCGAAGGGTGGAGGTGGTGAAGGACAGATCCAAGAGTGTTCAGTGGTTGGGGCCACAGATAGGGTTTTCCAAGAGGGCATAGTAGAAGGACAGTATGTAGATGAGCAGCCAGGGTGATCAGCCATGTGGTCCAGCCAGATAGGGAAGCAAGTTAAGACAACCATGGAGGAAATGTTCAGAGAAACCAGAAGGATCGAGACTATGAGGGCCTCTCTAAAGCTGAAAAAGTATTGAAAGGACAGTGAGGGTCTGAGCACCCTGGAAGAACAGGAAGTGGTCACAGAGAGGTCATGTGTTTGTAGTATCAGGCAAGGCCTAGGTTAAGGTCACAAGCAAGCCCGGCTTGAGAGGAAGATGGTAAGTGCCAATAGAGCTGAGAAGATCAGGGACAGAGAAGCTAGAGTTTGCTGACATCACCTAGGATGGCACCAGGAGTTGGTAGAGAACTGAGTCAGGTGCCAAAGTCTTCTGTGAATGTGGAAGTGTGGCAGGAGACCAGAGGATGACAGCATTGTGGAGGGCAGAGGGGGTATGGCCAGAAGGCCTCTTTGAGGGATCTGCACTGGGTGCCCGTGAGGGTGGCTTTCATGGATGCTGCCAGGCAGGCCTCGCTTGGAAGCAAGCAGCTAGGTTTCCCCGGCCATGGGTAACTGAACAGAAAAGAAGTAATATGTAAGCCTTCCATCAGTGTGTAGGTGGGAGACAAGAAAAAGAAGCAAGGAGGGCAGGAGGGAAGGGCTTTTTCCTTTCCTGACAGGGGGCATTGGAGCACTGGGGTCTTTGCTGATCCCCTTACCCTCACTGCCCCACAGCTGGCTGTGACCACAAGGTAACATCCACCAGCGGCACCATCACCAGTCCCAACTGGCCTGACAAATATCCCAGCAAGAAGGAGTGCACCTGGGCTATCTCTAGCACCCCTGGCCACCGGGTCAAGCTGGTAAGTTACCCACACCCCAACCTGCATGGGGACCCCTGCTCCTCCATGCCATCAGGCTGTCACCTGTTTCCTTTCAGTTCCAAAGCTCTGTGTAGTTCAGAGGTCCTGACCAGAGTGATGCAGACCGCAGGCTGGTGGCCTGGCTGAGCCCACAGGGCTGTCATCCCTGTGAGGATCCTTGTGAGTCCCAAGTCTGGTCTGGACAGAGGCCCAGTCCCAGTACACACTGGGGGTGTGCCTGCCATTGCCCATTCCTGGATCTTCCTTCATGCTGCCAGCAGTACCCCTGGCAGGGGCCACTTCCCTGGTCCCCATCAGCTGGGGTCTGGAGGCCTAGATTTGGGGCCACCTGCTGTCCCCCAGACAAATTCTGAACTTGCTGTCCTCCTTCCTGGCCTCCAGACCTTCGTGGAGATGGATATCGAGTCCCAGCCTGAGTGTGCCTATGACCACCTGGAGGTGTACGATGGCCGTGACGCCAAGGCCCCCGTCCTGGGCCGCTTCTGTGGGAGCAAGAAGCCAGAGCCTGTCCTGGCCACGGGCAGCCGCATGTTCCTGCGCTTCTACTCCGACAACTCCGTCCAGAGGAAGGGCTTTCAGGCATCCCACTCCACAGGTGAGGCCCCCTCAGGCCAGCCCAGCGTCCTCACGCTGTCTGGTTCTGCAATCCTGCTCTCACAGGTAGGCCCAGGCCCAGGAGTTTCACAGGGGGAGTAGGAAGAGCATGTGAAGGCACAGATGGACAGAGCTGTGGCCTGGGTGGACAGAGACTGTGTTCTGAGGGCCGGGCAGGGGAGCAGGGAGTGAGCACTAAAGGGAGAGTGGGAGAGGTTCCGATTAGGGGCCTCTAAGTTGCCGGAAAAAACAGAGGGCAGTGACGCCAGTGGGTGGGGAATCCAGGGATGGGGAGGGAAGCCCCACAGTCCCCAGTGGTAGGACGCCTGACTGTGCAGCAGCCCACCCACATTCCAACCCCGAAAGTCACTTATCTAGAGATCCTTATTAACACACAACATGTATGATCGGGCGGTGCTCTAAGTGCAGGCCACAAAAATGAAGCGGACAAACATCTCAGCCCTTGAGGGGCTCACTTAGCGATCATTTGTCCATTTATCTAACAACCATTTACTGAGCTCTGGCTCTATGCAAGACTCGGAGGGGCCCATGGAGATGAATCAGACGCTAGCCCTTCACCCCCACACACCAGGAACTCACTGTCCAGAGGTTAGACGGGACGTGCACAGATAGTTATAGCATGAGACAAAATGTGATAAGCTCTAGCTCTGAGCAGGAGTCGGTGGGGTCATTCCAGCAGGGGGAGGAGCCAAGGCACAGCCACAATTCCAGGACAGCTCTGGGCGTGAACAGGTGACTCCAGGTCATTTTGTTTGGCCTGAGCAATGGGTACATAAAGACAGGACAGCAGTGAAGTGGAAACAATGCAGCAGCAGAGAAAGGCTGGAGCCTGACATGGGAGGCCGGGAACATCAGACCAAGGGTGTCAGATGGGGGCTTCACAGGCTCCTTGTGGGTCTTGGGCTGCCTGGTGGGGAGTCCCCAGGACTACTGGGTCCAGAGCCTCCTATCCTTCCTTGTAGCTCAGTCCCTTACCCAGACCCTGTCCCATCCCCCCCGACCCGTCCAGGGAGACATAAGCACCAGGTATCCTAGAGGCCAGAGGGCTTCCAAAGGAGAGTGGATGCTGAGGACCCTGTCCTGCATGCTCTCATCTGCCCCTCCCAGAGAGGGTCCCAGACTGGAGGCCCGGAACTCTATCAGGCCGTCAGAGCTGCTCTGTTTGGCCCACACTGTGTTTTTTAAAAATGTGAGCCAGCACTGAAAAATCAAGAGTTTTCGCAGAAAGTCCAGATGTAGTTCTTCCCTCTTAAGAATGGAAGCCCTGGCAACACAGGGCCCACATTCTTCCATGACAGCCATCAGCTGGAGCAAATTAGCAGTGTCTTCTTTTGACAAGCGTGCCCTCCCCAGGGCCTCAGCTCAGAGTTGCCTAACAACCCGGTGTGTCCCCGGGCCTCTGTGGGCATCTATCCAGAGGCGGAGCAGCAGAGCACTTGTTCTGGGCCATGTCCCAGGCCAGGTCCAAACCCACTCACCACTAGCCATGTGGCCCTCCCTCCAGCTAGCTGTGAGGGCTCAGCATGGTGAGGTGCAATGCCTGGTCCCTGGCCACGCTCCGGGAGTGGTGGCCGATCTTGTTGTTCCTCCCGCAGAGTGTGGAGGCCAGGTTCGGGCAGAGGTGAAGACAAAGGATCTTTACTCCCACGCCCAGTTTGGTGACAACAACTACCCTGGGGGAGTGGACTGCGAGTGGGTCATCGTGGCAGAGGAAGGCTATGGCGTGGAGCTGGTGTTCCAGACCTTCGAGGTGGAGGAGGAAACAGACTGTGGCTACGACTACATGGAGCTCTTCGATGGCTATGATAGCACAGCCCCTAGACTGGGGCGCTACTGCGGCTCAGGGGTGAGACCCCGCCCCCCACCCAGCGCCCATGCCTCTGCAGGCATGGGGTGCCGGTATGGGTGCTAGTGCACGCCTGGCCCTTTGCAGGAGCTGGGAGACCCCGCCTGGTGGGTGGCTGCTCACAGAGGCCTGCCCTGCCCGGGGCCATCCCCACCCAGGAAACTCTGTCCTTTTTTGGCCAACATTGTGGTTTCTGCAGCCTCTGGGACAGGCCCTGCCCTGACCCGAGCCTGCTCAGCACCAGTTTATTTGGACCTACGGGGTAGCTTGCATCTAGAGAGGCTGATGGAATTCCCTCTGCCCCTCTCAGCCCTTGGTCCAGTCCAAAAGCAAGGCCCAGGGTCGGGGGCAGAGGTTGAGGCAAGAGCCAGGAACCTAGGATCTGAGCCTAACTGTGCTAACCAGTCATCTGGCTGAGCCATAAAAACGCCCTCATCTCTCCCGCTGCCAGTTTCCCTTCTTGGTGGGAGGCCAGCTGGTCTCACAGTCCTTGGTGCCACTGTCCAAGCAGACACCGAGCATTGCTTCTGGGTCCATAAAATGGCACTTTCAGAGGCAGTGGGCAAAAGTTTGCTTGATTTTAACCCAAGCCACAGGAAAACCACAAAGGTGGATTTCTTTTCCTCTCAGTCAGAGCTGTGGCTTCTTTTGTTTTTGTGAATCCTTCCCCCATTTAGAGAACGCCATCTTCTCCTCTCCATTACATACCCATGCATGTGCATACACACACACACACACACACACACACACACACACACACACGCCCTCTGCTCCTCACCTCTCTGGTCCCTCACCTCTCTCTTGGCCATGCTCCAGTGTAACCTGGGCACCCTAGGAAGCCTTAAACTTCCTTCTTGGAGCTGCAGCTGCAGCATCTACTGGGCCCAGCACTCGCCAGCTGAATGTGCCCTTAGGACAGAGCTTCAGGCTTCCTAGGGCTGGGACAGCAGGGAGAGATAGGGGTGGGGGTGGGGCAGGAGCTGAGCACACAGGCCCCTTGCCTGCCTGGCTCACCACTCTGGAATCCCCTGGCTGGCAAGCCAGCACTCACCTCCCCACTTTTTCCTTTGTAACTCCCTTGATCTGGCACATTCCAGTGAGCCACACACCAAATTGGGTGTCCCCAGGTGGCTTCTTCCAGAGACTTCCACCAGGCTGGGGCCAACGGGAGGGAACCTGGGGAAGGAACCCAGTCCTGTCAGGGCTTCCTGGCAAGGTTGTTGGAAATGTCCCCAAGGTTCTCGGAAATGATGCTTTCTGTGCCCTGAGAGCCAGGGCATCCGTGTGCTGAGGCTCTGCGGGCGGCTCTCACTCTGAGGGCCTGCACACAGAGGTGAGGAGGGGCCTGCAGGAGCTAGGCAGGGGCATCGCCTGCAGCCGACCATGGCCAGAGACCGTGGCCAGAACTGGGGGAGGATGGGATGGGAACGGCAGCAGCTATGTCTGCGGGAGGACCCAGCTATCCCATCTTCTCCAAGAGGCAGCTGAGACAGTGAGAAGGCAGCCTCTCAGAGAACCCACTCCCTTTGCAAAATCCATTCACAACCACACTCTCATTTGCTCCCTCCCACAACCCCCATCAGCCCTTCTGAGCTTGGAAAGCAGGGGTGGGGGGAGGGGGGACATTTACTCCTGCTTGCCCTTGAGGGAAGCCAGGCTCAGAGCCGGGCAGTGCCTTGCCTAAGACTTCACAACTAACTCGTTAATACCAGCGTTAATAGCAGCACTGGGTTTAGAATGAAGTATGACTTTGAACTTAAGACAAGCTCCGCCATTCCCTGCTTTCCCCCTCCTCCAGGCACCCCCTTAAACTCTTGCTGGCAATAGTCTTCCTGCTGCTTTAAGGGGCTGGGGGAATCTGGTGAATGTCTTCGAGCCGCCCACCTTCCTTAGAGCTGTGGATCTTGGGGAGGAAAAACAGCAGCCTCAGCCTCATGCCCATCCCTTTCCTCCATCAGCCTCCCGAGGAGGTGTACTCAGCGGGAGATTCTGTCCTGGTGAAATTCCACTCAGATGACACCATCACCAAAAAAGGCTTCCACCTGCGGTACACCAGCACCAAGTTCCAGGACACACTGCACAGCAGGAAATGACCACTGCCCTCACGTGGGGGCAGGGACGGGAGGCCTACTGCCCTCAGTCACCTGGACTGGACAGTGGGAGGTGGGCAGGAGGTGGGCACCCTGTCCCCATCCCCCAGGCACCAGGACCTGCAGGCCGATGGGCCAGGTGAGGCTGTCCTCAGGAGGCAGGGGAACTGGACTCCTTCATGAGCCCCTTCCCCGTGATCCCTTCCTCCTTGCCCCCACCAGAGCAAGGGGCCAGGGCCAGGGAGCCAGAGCTTTCACTGAGACACTTGAAGTTGCCATTCCTCTCTGGAGGCCTGGCCTGGTGGGGAGAGCGTCTGTCAGCAGACCCTCCCATCTTCCCTGCCCTGTCTAAGTGCGCTGTATTGTGTATAGCCGGTGGCATATCTTCATGTAATGTGCATTTCCCACCCCTTCTCCAACCTTGAAATGGTTTTTTCGAGCCCCCATTTCCCCACTTCCTGGGGTGTGAGTTTCCATAGGAGTCCCATAGGATGCACCATGGGGGGGCTGCAGGCGAGGGGGTGGGGAAACAAGACGGGGCTTCTCTCAGGCCCAGAGGCTGGTCAGCCACATCAGGGCACCCCAGCCAATAAACTGAAAGTGTTACAGCCAGTATCTTGTGCCAGATGCTGTCTGGGACATGGGGGTGCGTGTGTGGTGGGGGGGTGTCTCATTCCAGATGTGTAGGCTTGCTGTGTCTGGGACCAGCCCACAGCCAGGACACCTGGCCCCGCTGGCTGCCCTTCCTTCCCTCGATTCCAGGACCCCTGAGGGTGTGATTTCACACTCGGGCACACACAAACACAGCCGCCTCGCACACTCCAGCCTACAGGCGTACCGCATACATGCACTGCTCATCACACTCCCACACAACGAGAGGAGTGGAACATTCTGTAAAAAGGTTGTTTGGGGGTGGGGGGAGGAGGGAGGTATGTAAAAGGGGATAGGCATGTGTCTGTCCAGCTGGTGTCCATCCATGTCTTCTGTCTCTAACTAGGGAAGGGGTGGGTGGGCTGGAGGGTGACCCAGCGGAGCTCACCAGAAGCCAGAAAACTGGCATCAGCCTGAACAGATCCACTAACTGGCCCTGAAACTCTGCCTTCCTGAAGGTCAAACACCCAGTGCTGGCCCCCTGCAGGTCCATCTCTTCTCATGGAAACAAGAGCCAGACACTAGGCAGCCACTGAGCAAACATTCCAGCTCTGGCCCCCTCTCCCAAGACTGTGTCTTGTCTGGCCTCCTCCCCGCTGCCATTTCCCCCTCCCTCTCTGGACAGCAGTGAGGCACAAACCTGTTTCCCAGAGACCAGGAGGAGAGAAGCAACATGGCTGCTCCTTCCATTCAGAGGACCCTCTCCCCCTTCTCTACATGGTTCTCAAAGGGAAAGAAAGCAGAGAGAGGACCCAGGTTCTTATGCCTTGGCTGGCCTCTTGCAGATTTCACAGAGCCAGGCATCCTGCTCCAACCCCCGGGGCTCCCTGAGATCCTTCAGTGGGTCTGTAGGTCTTTTACTGGCGTCAAGCTCCTCCCTATTGCAGAAGCACATGTTGTGCCAGATGCTCTCTCTAGACTGTGGGAGGGGACCTACCCCCAGGCAGCAGTATGGCATGGTATACCCCAGATGGGCCCTTTAAGCAGAAAGCAGTAGTGGAAACCAGACACACTGCTGGCATCTGATGTGTATGCAGGACCCTCTCCTTCCAGGAAGCCAGCCTGCTCCAACTGTCAGGGTACAGCCCTCTTTTTCCGTCCTGACAGCAGATGAGGCCTTGAGGTCCTGCAAGGGAGGGGGTGATGGCCCGAGAGTTTCCTGCCTGTTGCTCCAGTGAGGTCACAGGCTGTGATGTCACAGCCACCCCTCCCTGCCTCCAGCTCCTCTGACCTCGGTGTTCAGGACAGCCTGGAGGACCATGAGTAGAATGGAAAGGCCCGCAAACCATTGGAGCTGCCTGGATCTCACCCAGACACTTTGCCAACCCCCTTGGCATCCGCTCCTTCACAGCAGAATTTGTAGTCGGTGGTCACGGCTCTCCTCACCAGCCGCCCAGGGCCCTCTAAAGCTCAGAAGGCCCTGCTCCCAGTCCATGAGCCACATGCCCAGAAGGAGCCAGGGGCTTTGAACCCCCTCCAAACTGTGGAGAGTGGGCTTCAGCCCACAGCGAGTACCCAGTTCTCCACTCCAAACAAGGGCTCTGTGAACAGCAATGCCACAGCTAGAGGCAGCTCAGGATTGACTCATGCAGCCACCCCAGAGGCCTGTCCCAAGACTCCATCACCACCATAGACCCAGATCCCTCTAAGGACTTAGGAGCCATGCTAGTGGACCTTCCCTGTCTTCTCAGGGCCTATCTTCAGAGGCTGCCTCCAGGTGGTAGAGGCTGCTCAGGAGCAGGGTGCAGCCCATTAATACATATTCCAGAACTTAATTCATGTGCTCTCAATGCCTTGCCCACCCTTACCCTCTGCCGGCTTCAGGGTTCCAGACTAGACCCACTCCACTGTGGCTGCCCATCAGCTCAGTTGACTCTGTGCCATGGGAAGATACTCCTGCTCCCACAACTGCCTCCAAGCCCTTGGGGGCCCCCCTGAAGGCCCCCTTGGTCCCAAGTACATGGCCAGTAGTGGAAGAGTTGGGATGGATCTTCCCCAGACTTCTTCCAGGTCGAAATAAGCATATACCCTGGAGCTTTAGGCTTGTCTATCCAGGAGTACCCATGTAGCCCTCAGGGGACAGGACAAAAGCATTTGCCTGACACTCAGGAGAGCTGGATCTGCCATGCTTTACCCAGTGGCACTGGCCAGCTGTTTCCTCTACTCCCCAAGCCTGTGACCCCTCCCCAGCAAGCCTCCTGCCACTGCTGAGACAGACAAGAAGACTCAGGGTCTAATCTCCAAGCAGCCAGAAGGCAGAGTTCCTCATGGGGGGCTGGACATGAGGGGCTTCTAGGGCCAAGTTTGGTTCAACTATAGTAGAAGGAAAGTCACATGCCCTGTACCTCTGCCTCACTGTTTCTTTCCTCCTTTTCCCTTCCCCTCCCTCCCCCTAACCCTAACTCCATATACTTCTCTGTCATGAAAAAGTCACAAACTTACATGCAAACATAGCCGGTTTTGAATACAAGCTCTACCATTTGGTGGCTGTGTCCCCCTGGGTGAGTCATTTAACCTCTCTGAGCCTCAGTTTCTTCATCTAGACACATGGAATGATAATACGTCACAGGGTTTCAAGGAAGGAATGAGATACCCTTTGAAGAGATCCTGGCAAATAGGAGGCTCTCCATAAATGGGCCTTCTTTTCCTTTCCTCTGCCAGACAATTTTCCAGTTCCTGGACTACTCTCTTTCTATGCAAAAAGGAAACTTCTGGGTACACTAGTTTCCAGCTGAGCATTAGGAGGTTAGGGCAGATGTACTCCTGCCAGAGAAGGCAATGCTTAGCCCGCAGAGGCTTGTGGGGCAGCAGGAGACATTTCTGGCTAGCTGGTAGCCTTTCTGGGCACCTCCCAAGTCACACCCTGTGCTTGACTGTCCCTACACACAGGCTGATTCTAGAATTTGTGAAAAGATTTGCTGCTCCAGTTTGCAAAAATAGTAGTGTCTGATTTGGGGAGTGGGGAGAGGGCAGCCAGATGTTTTCCCCAGAGAGCCACGAGGCCCCCAACCCAGCCTCCCACTGACCAGCCTGCTTCTCCTGCTCCAGCCTCCTCCCAGCCCCACACCCTCCCCTCCCCCATCCCAAGAACATCTGGTTCCAATCTCCTCCAGATGCTGTGGCCAAGCTGTTTTACGGCCAATCACCTCAGCTCAGCTTCCTGAAGGCCTCCCTCCATTTGGGGGAATGGTCTCTCATCCCTTTCCTCCGGACCCCAGCCACTTCTTTCCCTAACACGGGGAAGAGACACATACCCAAACCATACAAAACTGTGAGGGTCCCTAGAACTGGCACCTCCCCTCCCGTTACCTTGGGGGGGACTCTCATCCATTCAAGATCAAAAGAAAGTTGCTACCCCAGAAGGGAAAGAATAGGCAGAGGAGACAGAAACAAAGAGTTGGAGGCATGAGTGTGAGTGGCCATGTGTATGCGTTGAGTCTATCTGTGTGTTTGTGTTTGCACAGCAGAACATCTGACTTGTAATCTGAAGGCACCCTTTGGTGGCCACTGCCTCATTTTCCCCTCCTTGCCTGTACAGGAGTGGGGATAACTTGGGTCCCTGGGCTGGACAGGGTAGTCCAGGGTAGTCCCTCACCTTGTGGCTCTCTGTGGCAGCAAAGTGTGTCTTCTAACTCCAGCATAGGGAGGTGGTGTGTGTGTGTGTGAGCGTGCGCGCCTATTCGCACGTAGACCTCTTTTCCCTCCACCAGGTCGGATTAGAGAGACACAGGCCAGAAGGGACCCCAGGGCAGATTCCAGCGAGTGCCCTGACCCAGCTCTGATGAGTGCCTCGAGCAGCACAGGGCTGGCGGTGTGCCAGAGAGCGGCCATCTGGAGAGAAGAAGGAGAAGCAGGCTCTCTGGAGAAACCTGTGTGTGGCCCCACCCCCACCTCAGTTGGCTGCCTTCATCCCCCACTAAGAGGACACTGGGAGCCAATCCTTCCCTAAGAAACCCAGAGGGTTCACAAAAGGAAGACGAAAGCCTGCACATCTGGAGGATTCCGAGAACCCCTCTGGGGTGGGGTGGGGGTGTCCTGACCAGAGGTGGAAGGATGGACCCTGGAAGTCACTCCCCATCTGTGGAATTCTGGACACTGGTGCTGCCCACTACTTTAAAAGAAGGCTCCTTGGCATTTGTGACTCTACAGCCCCCCCTGGTGTTATTCGGGATGGAGGTGCAGCGTTGGTTAGCCAGGAGACATGTGGAGGAGACCCTTGAGAGGGCCACGTATTCAGATGGGCCTGCCCATGTCTTACTGCCCACGTGGCCCCTGGCATACGCGAGAGAAGACAGGAAAGTGCAATGGGAAGATTCCAGTCTCTGAATCAAAGCTAGGCACTGTCGCCTACCTGGCAAGCCTTTTAACTTCTTTGTGCCTTGTTTCTTCATCTATTAAATGGGAATACTACAGCACAGAGCCGTTGTGAAGACTACATGAGCTGATGCGTGTGAAAGCACCTGGCCGGATGCCTGGCCCATAATCGGCCCTCAGGAAGTGGTCGTTTGCCCTTCAGCTATCCCCTAGCCCAAGGAGGCTGTGTCCCAAGCTCTGGATGACACATACACGTTCATTTGGCCCTGAGCCCAGGCAGTGTCAGCGAGGTGACTCTAATTTTTCTGGAGCTTTCCTACTCTAGCGGAGGATCATTTTAATAAGTCCATAATAATAGACGCAGAGGTGACTCAGATCTACAGATGAGGAGCCCTGCTGGGGAGGGGACATTTGGGCTCTGGGGGAGGGAAATTCAGTAGCATCTGGGGTTGATGCAGTGTCAGGCTGCTGCATTGGGAAGGGTTCCAAACAGGGGACCTTGGTTAGATCTCCAGACTGCTACAGATTCTCCTCTAAGAAGCCTCAGTTTCCCCTTCTGCAAAGTGCAAGCTCGTAAGTACCAAAAGCCCTTCAAAGTCCCATCCGAGCTAGAGATATGGCTCTGCTCTCTGAACTCTGCCTCCCACA